CTTATAGTCCCAGCTGCTTGGAAGGCTTAGGCAGGAGAATCACTTGAACCCAGGAGGCGGAGGTTGCAGTGAGCCAAGATTGCACCACTGCACTCCAGTCTGGGCAACAGAGTGAGACTCTGTCTTAAAAAAAAAACAAAAACATATGGCAAGTTCTTAATTTCAGACGTTTATTTTTTAATTTCAGAATGTCCACTTGGTTCTTTTTTTATAGATTATGTTGAAAATTGCCAATTGCATCATTTTATACATTTTGTTAATCTCTGCATCTTGGGTATTTGCCTCCTAACTTTAATATCTGATTTTTCTGTGAGTCTGACTGATTTTCTGGTTTTCTCTTGATAAATATGTGCCACATATTTTGCTTCTTTGGATATCTCTTAATATATTTACTTAGTGTCCCTAAACTAGACTAACATTGTGTCTGAATGAACATGATTTTCCTTCAGTTGATGTGTTTTCTCCCAGAGAGGTTTGCTCTTTGCTGTGTGAGACAGATAGAGTGAGGAGTTGATTATCTCCATGCAGTGAGGGATTACATAGACCCCCACCCCACCACTAGGATTCTCTCTTCTTACCACTAGAGACTATAGGAAGTTTTCTCTTCCCTTTTGACCCAGCCTCTCTCTGTTTTTTTTTTTTTTTTTTTTTTTTTTGAGATGGAATCATGCTCTGTAGCCCAGGTTGGAGTGCAATGGCATGATCTCAGCTCACCACCACCTCTGCTTCCAGGTTCAAGTGATTCTCCTGCCTCCACTTCCCGAGTTGCTGGGATTACAGGTGTGTGCCATCACACCCAGCTAATTTTTTGCATTTTTAGTAGAGATGGGGTTTCACCATGTTGGCCAGGCTGGTCTCAAACTCCTGACCTCAAGTAATCCGCCTGCCTCAGCTTCCCAAAGTCCTGGGATTACAGGCGTGGGCCTGTGCCCAGCCTTGACCTAGCCTCTCTATCATCCTTCAGTGTTCCATCTCAGAGGAGAAATAGCACTGGGGAAGCTGTCTGTCTCTAGATTCCAATCTGTCATTTCAGTCCCTGCAAACATCTAAAACACTACTTGTCTCTTATTTGCTTTATTACACTTGCTCTGCTTAAGCCAAGCTCAGTCCTTACTCATGCCCAAGCTCTGCAGTTACCCCCATGGAAGAACAAGCCAGTGGTTTAGCTGCCTCGGAAGTGCTCTTGCACCTCTGCATTTTTCATTCTTTTAGTCCTCATTGCTTCCACAGCTTTCCTTTGTTGGTTAGTCTAGTCTTTGAAGCAAGTGCATTAGCCTGCCTCCTATCTAATCACTTACTTTAGGGAAGTGGAAGTCAGAAGTTTATCTTCATTAAAAGAAAAGGCAGATAATTTTAGGAGTGCTTATTTTTGTAAGCATAGTGATGTTTTGAATAATTTTATCTGTGTTGCATACTCATAGCTCTACAGTATTTTTTTTCCTTTCTGATATGAGCCTGTTTATCAAAATATGTCCCAGATCTGGGTGAGTAAACAATGGCCCACAGACCAGTGAGGCCCAATTCTTGCTTTTATGCAGTCTGTGAGCTAAAAATGGTTACATTTTTAAAAGGTTGAAAAGAAAAAGGAAGCAAATATTTTGAGATACATGAAAATTATGTGAAATTTGAAAGTTTAATTGTATTATATGTACACTCCTCTCTTTATGTGCTGCACTGCCGATGGCAGCTTTCATGCTGTAACCGTTGAGGAGTTGTGACAAAGATCTTGTGGCTCACAAAGTGTAAAATATTTGCTGTATGGCCATTTGCAAAAAAAAAAAAAAAAATTCCCCTATTCCTGCTTTAGATCACAGGTCAGGAATTTTTTATTTCTTATTACTAAGCAAAATTAAGCAAAAGATTAAAACCATTTTATTTCAGAAGTTCTGTAACTTTGGATTTATTAAAATTGTAGCATTTTAAAGGATTTAGAAGGAACGTCGATCTCCTTCATCTCTTTTATTTTGCAAATGAAGACGCAGATTTGAATTAAAGAGATTTTAAAATTATGACTACATTTTTGGTATAAAGTATACTTGGTAATAAGCTGATAGGGAAACTTTCATCTCTATCACTGAACAATTTGCAAAATTCATTTGTTCTTATATTGTAGAAGTATTTGGTTTTTCTTAAACAGCATTGCTCTTAAGAAAATATTTTTGGAATTTTTTAAGTAAATGTTTTAAAATAAATATTTAAGGCATGTTAATAGCCTTTCCCTTTTATCATCAGCCATAATTTTTTCAAATCTCACGGATATTATTTTTGTGAGAAGACTAAAAGTCTTACAGGACCAATTCCAGACATTCTTCATTAAGCTTTGATTGATTTAGGATTTAAAGCCCTAAATAATCAGAAATTCCAAGGTAAATTGTTAATGCGCAAGACTGGTTTTTAGAGTTTCTCTTTCATATTTCCATCCTCAGATATCATGAAAGGTTTGTGCTTCATTCTCAAATATAAAGATATAATGGTGTGTTATATTACTAGCAAATGGTACTTTTTCATTTTCAAATGTTGAATACAGATTTTGTTTATGTAATTTTCAACTTATTACTGGCTCTTTTAGAAAACCTCTACCTCTACCTCTACAAGCCAAATTAACAACAACGCAAAAACACAGTAAAAGTAATTTATAATTAATTTGGGAATAGTTGGTTCTTTGGATGGTCTATAGTTAAGAATTGATGGGTTCAGATTCATTAGAATTGTTACAACCGATTAAATGTCATCATGTCTAGTAGGAAGTATTTTAGGAATGTACGTAAAATCATTTGAACTTTAAAGAAGTTCCATTAGATAAAACAAACACAAAAATTTAAGTCAATGATAGCTAGTCTTTAGGAAATCTATCTGAATTTGGATTTATATATTCTACTTCTCTGAAAATTGGTTGTGAATAAATCTTGGTGCCTTTTTTTTTTTAAACAGAGTCTCGCACTGTTGCCCGGGCTGGAGAGCAGTGGTGGGATCTCGGCTCACTGCAACCTCCGCCTCCCAGGTTCAAGCAATTCTCCTTGCCTCAGCCTCCCAAGTGGCTGGGATTACAGGCGTCTGCCACACCGGCTAATTTTTTTTTTTTTTTTTTAGTAGGGACAGGGTTTCACTATTTTGGCCAGGCTGGTCTCGAACCTCTGACCTCGTGATCTGCCTGCCTCAGCCTCCCAAAGTGCTGGGATTACAGGCATGAGCCACCATGCCTGGCCTAAATCTTGATGCTTTTATAAATTATTTAGAAGGGGCTAACCTCTTGCTAGTTATGTATCCCTGTTGCTCAAATACCTCATTTCACTCAGGTAATCTTTAATATAAAGGAAAGTAGTTTTCCTAAACAGTCCATGAAGAATACTTATTGTGTTTCATATATTTATTTGTTCATCTGATATTTATTGACCATCCATGATATTTCACCTTGATGAAGGTGCTGAAAGTACACAGTTGAAATAGACATTCTTCATGCCCTCACAATGCTGGTAGTTGAGTAAATTCTATTAGCAGATGTATGTATTTATGTTTAGCATTTGGCACTGTTAGTCTTTCTTTTTCTCTTCTATGGCATACTATCTTGTGGAAATCTTATCTACATACATAGTTTCCATGACTTCCTTTGCACTAAAATCTGTGCAAAATAATCCCATGCATAACTCCTTAGTGGGCCTTTCTGGCTAGATATCCTTTAAATGCACTCATGTATCAAAACCATAGATATAGATACCTTAGGCCTCTGCTTATTTTAATCTCTGAGTCAGGCATGTAGCTGTAGCTCTGAACTTCCTCATTTCTCCCCTTCCTCTCTCCTCTTATGCTTTCTCTTAAACTACTTACTGAGTACTATATCCTTGGAACTTTTCTAGACAGAGGCTAGAGTAGCATACATGAAAGACAAGGCCTCTGCATTGTTGTTGGAGCTTATAGCTTGACAAGAGAGCAATACGTTAAACAGTTCCATACATGATTACAGTTACTGGCTGCACAATGAAACACACATATAAGATGAACTGAGAGTGTGTATTAGGGAAACTCATCCAGTGTGGGAAGTTACACTTAAGTGACACTTATGCTGGGACCTTGAAGATAAGTAGTGGTTAGCAGGAGAAGATGGAGAGAATTTCAAGCAGAGGGAAAACCTTTGTGAAAGTTGTGATGAAGCTTAACAGGTTCAGACAACTGAAAGAATACCCTTCTGGCTGGAGTATGAAGAACAAGGTGGAAAAGAATGCAAAAGGAGGCAGGAAGAGGATCTTTTAAACTATGTTGGTGCGTTTGGACTTTATCTTAAGAGAATTGAGAAGATGCTGAGTTTTAGGTTGGAGAATTATCCACTCAGGCTTATGTCTTTAAAAGCTGAGTTAGTTCCTATGTGAAGAATGGATTGAAGGGTATGCATGTGCAGAAATGAGTTAAGCTTTTGCAGTGGTCTGGGTATGAGGTGGTGGTAACCTGTGTTATTAACATTGCAGCAGTAAAGAGGGTGTGGACAAATTCAAGAACTGTTTATGAGATATAATTGACCAGATTTTATGATTATTTTGATTTCAAGAGTGAAACTGAAGAAAATGTCAAGGATAACATTTTCATCTGCTTGTTACTCTTGTCTGTTGACATTTTGGTATTTTGAAGTCAAACATCTTTAAAATCAAACCCATTACTTTTTTTCAGCAAACTAACTCTTCCTTCTTACTTCTCTGTTTTTATGAATGACATTCCCACTATGGAAAAAATATAAAATACTTCATTTGATGCCTTTTTAATGTTTTACGTTTATATAGGTTTTTGCAGACTTCAAGTTTTTATTAATTATCATTTAATATATATTGTTTAGCTGCCCTGTGTTATCTTCTCAATAGCTACTTTATATGTTAGTATCTTATATGTGTAGGTATAAAGAAACTTTGCAAGAAAAAGATACAAATGTCTATTTTGGAAGTACCTATTTTTGATAGCTTTGTATGTCCTAACATGAACATTCATTTTTTTTCCATTTTTCTTTTAATTTTTAGGAATAAGAAAATTTTAAATAAGAAGAAGTTGAAAAGAAAACAGAAGAGCAAATCAAAAGTGAAGGCAAGAAGCAAGGTAAAGCTGCTGGTAATTTATAAGGAAAGGGACTTTTTCATATGGTGATTTGAATAAAAATGCCAAGATTTTAAAAAAAAAGTATAATTAACAAATAATTTTGTTTGTATGTGCTGAAGTAATTGTGTAAAAACCCTTTATAATTTGGTTTCACTTTTAGTTTCTTTTTTCTATTGGGTATTTCTTTCTTTCTTGCCTTTTTTTTTTCTTTTTTGAAATAGGGTCCAGCTCTGTCACCCAGGCTGGAGGGCAGTAGTTTCCTGGGCTCAAGTAATCCTTCCATCTCAACCTCCTGAGTAGCTGGGGCTACAAGTGCATGCCACCACACCCAGCTAATTGTTAAATTTTTGGTGGAGACAGGGTCTCAGTGTTGCCCAGGCTGGTCTTGAACTCATGGGCTCAAGCAGTCCTCTCGCCTCAGCCTCCCAAAGTGCTGGGATTGTAGGCATGAGCCACTGCGCCTGGCCTATTTTTGGGTGTTTGTTGACCAGTAGCCTGGAAGTTAATGTCTGGATGTTGAAAATTATTTATCTTTGATCAGTGCTCTGGGGGAACATGCCCATTTCTGTTTTCTTTTTTCAATCTGACTACAGGTACTAGAAACTTGAGTAAAATTAGCTTGTGAATTGGGACTTGGATTTGGGTTCCTCATATGCCTTTCTTGTCAGGGATTAGGGAAGCTCACTGTGTCTATATTGTTCTGAGCTTCTTTTGACTGTTGGTAGCTGTGCTAAAGAAAAGCCAATATGGAATATTTGAATTAACTGAGACCTTAGAAACCAAGAATCTTTCTTCACCTAATGCAGAGATCTCTATAAAATCCATCTTTTTTTTAATTAAACATTTTCAGTGACCAGAGCCTACTTTATATAACAGTCTATTGGAAATCTAGACAGAAGGAAGAAAAGAGTCGTAACTATGATTTCTGAGCAGCTTTACTTTGAGTTAAAGAAACAGGTTCACTGGGCCTATATAGCAACTATAGAGGCAGTTGTTTCCCACACTTTTAAGTTAGTGTTCTTGCTGCTGTAACTGAGAGAAGTCTACTTCAAAGTAGCAAACCTAAAATAAAATGAAAGGTTGGGGAATGGCATTTTTTTGGTGGCTCTATCTTGAGACACAGCTGGATCCAGGGATTAAATAATATCACCGTCCGGGCACAGTGGCTCATGCCTGTAATCCCAGCACTTTGGGAGGCTGGGGTGGGGGAATCATAAGGTCGAGAGAGCGAGACCATCCTAGCTAACATGGTGAAAGCCCATCTCTACTAAAAATACAAAACATAGCTGGTTGTGGTGGCACATGGCTGTAGTCCCAGCTACTCAGGAGGCTGAGGCAGGAGAATTGCTTGAACCTGGGAGGCAGAGGTTGTAGTGAGCCGAGATCGCCACACTGCACTCCACCCTGGTGAAAGAGCAAGACTCCATCTCAAATAATAATAATAGTAATAATAATATCAAACCCGTATTTTCAGCTCTTGTTTCTGCCTTCCTCTGTGTGTGGACTTATTACATGTGACTGAGGGGTGAGGCTGCTGGCAGCTCCAACTCCATTTGCTCTGAGCAAGAGGCAATCTCTTCTACTAGTCATAGCAGAAAGTCTTGGGTAGTATTTTTGGTTTACCTGCATCATTTACTTTGGCCACAAAGTAAGTGGGATACTTTGGTTAGACTGAGTTATATTTTTAACTCTGAAATGGGTAGTAGGTCAGCACCCTGGTGAGTAGGCCACATGGAATGGGAGAGGAGTAGTAACCCTAAGGAAAGTGTTTCTGGGTGAGCAGAAAAGTAATATCTGTTCACTGTATCTCTTCTCGTTACTTCTGTTTCTGGGATAGTGGAGGGAAGTGGAGTGTATTCTTAATATACAGAAAACCTCTAACAAATAAAATCATTCAGATTTCCAACATCTCTCCCTTTCCAACTTTTTGGTGCTATGTGCAAATCAGAGCATGGAAATCTTGAATATCTTTTAAGTTTTGTTTTGTCTTGTTTTGAGACAGAGTCTTGCTTTGTTGGCCAGGCTGGAGCTCAGTGGCGCAATCTTGGCTCCCTGCAGCCTCCCTCTTCTGGATTCAAGAGGTTTTCTTGGCTCAGCCTCCTGAGTAGCTGCGTTTACACGTGCAGCTAATTTTTCTATGTTTAGCAGAGAAGAGGTTTCACCATATTGGTCAGGCAAGTCTCGAACTCCTGACCTAGTGATCTGCCCACCTCAGCCTCCCAAAGTGCTGGGATTACAGGCATGAGCCACTGCACTGGGGACCTCTTTAAAGTTTTTTTAAGGTTTCTTTGATGATTTCCCTGAAGTGGTAGCATATGTTATCCAGAAAGAGGTGAGAAGTCAAGTCTTTGTTATCTTCAATTCGGTCTCCAACTGTCTTTGTGCCCTTAGTAATTGAGTTTTTTTCTTCTTGCCCTCAGCAATTTTATATCTTCTATTTAGGAGTAGCTTGGAATAACAAGTCTCCAACTGCCTTTGTGCCCTTAGTAATTGAGTTTTTTTCCTCTTGCCCTCAGCAATTTTATATCTTCTATTTAGGAGTAGCTTGGAATAACAATGATATAAATAAATTGATTCATTTATTCCTCAAACATTAATTGCATGCTGAGTATGTGTGGGCATTATGCTGGATGTTTGGGCTACAAAGATGAGTAAGAGACATTTTTATGCTCATGACCAGCATATAAAGTAGTAAAATGGTGTTGTTAGTCTCCTTGACCTGTATTGCTTTTACCAGATTATTTTTCATATACTCTCTTTTTTTTTTAAAGTTATTTTTAAAATACCATTTAGCTGTACTACTTTATATCCTGTATGGCTGTCATCTACTCCTCTTAGTCTCCTTATCCATCAGTCATCTCTTTTATTTAATTTCCATTTTTTCCCCAGATTACATACCACAGTCACTCTTTTTAGAGAAACTTACTTAATCTGTAACAAATTAAAACTTGGTGATTTAAAATAACACTAGTTATCTTACAGTTCTGGAAATCTGAAGTCCAAAATGGATCTCATTGAGCTAAAATCAAGGTGTCAGCAAGGCTGTATTCCTTCTGGAGGCTTCTGGAGGGAATCTGTTTTTTTTGCCTTTCCAGTTTCTGTAATAGAAGCTGCTAAGAAAACTATCAGTGATGCTGCATGAGAAAACTCAACCAATCACCACTGATATTTTCTGTTGTTTTATCTCCTTCTCTCACTGTCCAGCCTCCCTCTTTCACTTGTAAGGACCCTTGTGATTACATTGGCCCATACACATAATGTGTACATTTCAGAATCCTTAGTTTAATCACATATGCAGAGTCCCTTTTGCCAGGTAAGGTAGCATTCACCTGGGTTCTGGGGAATTAGGGTATAGATGTTTTTGGAGGCTTTTATCTACTGTATCCCCCTTGTATATTTGTTGCATTAATCTGACAAGACTCAAGGTTGTATGAATCCAGCTGTTTTGTCCCTCCCTGAAGGTGAGTTCCATGTGCTGCCAAAGAGAGTGATACAAGATTTAATTGATAACAATACACATTCATATGATCATCAATCTCAAGTAGACCATAGCCAGACTATCATTTTTTCTGGTCAAATAGTTCTCTTTTCTTCTGTGATTATTTCAGACCTTTGCCATGCTCCTCAAACCTCTGATAAATTCTACCCTCCAGCATAGGATGTCACTTTCTTACAGGAGAAATAAAATTCATTACTCAGAAAACTTCCTCAACATCCTAATCCCAAATGTGTCCATCTTAGATCAGGCTTCTGAGTAGCTGAGCCTGACATAGAGATTTACATTTTGCAGTTCAGTGAGTTTTGAGAGTTAACATTCATGCATGAAAGTACTACTGCAGTCAAAGTTCAGAACATTTCCATCATCTCCAGGAATTTGTTTCTTCCTTTCTTTTTTTTTTGAGACAGAGTCTCACTTTGCTGCCCGGGCTGGAGTGCAGTGGCATGTGATCTCGGCTCACTGCAGCCTCTGCCTCCTGGGTTCAAGCAATTCTCCTGCCTCAGCCTCCTGGTGCGAGCCACCATGTCCAGCTAATTTTTGTATTTTTTGTAGAGATGAGATTTCACTGTGTTGGCCAGGCTGGTCTCAAACTCCTGACCTCAGGTGATCCACTCACCTCTGCCTCCCAATGTCCTGCGATTACAGGCGTGAGCCACCATGCCTGGCTGGTTTTCTTATCCTTTGCTGATTCCATTCCTCCTTATTAACCCTGGCTGTAGACAACCACAGATATATTTTTTGTCACTGTAGATTAGCTTTTATTTTCTAAACCTTCATATAAATGTGATCATCTTGTGAGTACTCTTTTTTTTTTAAATCTGGTATCTTTCCCTCAGCATAATGCTGATTTTATGTACATATATATATATGTACACACGTGTGTGTGTGTGTGTGTGTGTGTGTGTGTGTTCATTTTTCTTGGGTGACTACCAAGGACTGGAATGGTTAGGTGGTTTTTCCTTTGATTTGCCAGAAGGACTCATAAGTCTCACAAGCAATTTATTCTCATGGCTAAGATTTATTACAATAAAGGATACAGAGCAAGCAGCAGGAAAAAGATGTATTTGCGATGTATAGGGAGTTATGGCCTAGGCTTCCTAGTTCTTCCTTGACTGAGCACACAGGATATGCTTGCTCTCTGGCTGTAAACTACAATGAAATGTATATATTGTTTCTGCTCACATGAGTCTTAGGATTCAAGATTTTTCGGGTTAGGTCACATAGACATATCCTGTTAAGCAATCAGACATGGTAAATGAAACTCAGGTACACATCATAAAGCTTGGTTTTTGTACATGCAGAGCAGTGTGACAGGCCAGGAGGCATGGCCCATTGCTCTGTGTGTTTATAACAAAATCATCAATCACTACCACAAAGAAAACTCTAAACATCTACCTTCCCCAAGGTTGGCCAAGGGTCAATCGTAGTCTCCTTGGGGAAATACAAGGAGTAAGCAATCATGTCTGCATTGTTAACCTTTTCCTCAGAGGTGGTATGGTAAATGTATGTTTAGCTTTTTAAGAAACCAAAAAACTCTTCCAACATGGTTGTTCCAGACTGTAGTCCCACCAGTAGTATATGACCAATCTAGTCACTTCACATCTTTGCAAACACATGGTATCAGCTTTGTAAATATTAGTCAATCTGGGAGTTTCCCATTGTGGTTTTAGCTTGCTTTTCTTTAGTAATCAATGATGTGAAATCTTTTCATGTACCTTTTGCCATTCTTATTTTTTTGATGTGAAATATCTGTTCAGATCTTGCCTCCTTATTTTTTAATTGTTTGTCTTCTTATTATTGAATTGACAGAGTTTCTCATATATTCTAAATGCAAGTCTTTTGTCAGACATCTGCATTCCAAATAAATTTCTCCTGTTCTGTGGCTTGCTTTTGGGGTAAGAATTGCCATTTTAATGATACTGAATCTTCCAGTCCATGAACATGGTATATATCTCCATTTATTTAAGTCTTCACATTTCACCCAGCAACACTTTTCAGTTTTCAGTATGTAGGCCTTACACTTATTTTATTATAATTATTACAAGTATTTATTTACAATTATTTTATTACACATATTTTACTTATAAATTTACAAATATTACAGATAATTATTTACAGTTATATTTTTGATGTTATTGTAAATGCAGTTAATTTTTAAAAATTTATTTTGTTTTAAGATGATTTCAGTGTGAATGCACTGTGTATGTGTTTGTGTGCACCTAAGTCTATGTAATTTTATCACATGTGTAGGTTCATGTGACTCTTACCACAGTCTAGATAGACAGCAATTCCGTCACAGGGATTCTCTGTGATATCCTTTAAGCCACAGGTATCTTCGTTCCTAACCCTCTCCTTAGCTTCTGGCAATGACTGATCTGCTTAGCATTTATAATTTTGCCATTTTAACAATGTTATTCAGTGGAATTGTGCAGTATGTAATCATTTAGGATTGCCCTTTTTTCCCCCACTTGGCAAAATGTCTTTGAGATTCACACACATTGTTGCATATTATTTGTTCTTGCTGAGTAAACATTTCATGGTATGGATGTATCACAGTTTGTTTAACCACTTACCCATTGAAAGATATCTCGGTTGTTTCTAGCTTTGACTATTTTAAAAGAAAGCTGTTACAAACATTCATGTACTGGTTTTTGTGTGAACATAAGTTTTTATTTCTCTGGTGTAAATGTTCAAGGGGTTATATGGTAAGCATATGTTTAGTTTTGTAAGACATTGCTATACTTTCTTCCACAGTGGTTATACCATTTTACATGACCATCAGCAATGTATAAGTGACCCAGTTTCTCCTCATCCTCATCAACATTTGGTTTTGTCACTATTTATTTTAGCCATTCTGATAGGTGTGTACTATATCTCATTTTAATTTGCATTTTCGTAAATGCAAATTTACAAAAAACAAAGATGTTGAAATTCTTTTCTTTTTTTTCCATTTTTTTTTGATTGATTTGGTTTTATTCCCATTCAACTATTTGGCAGTTTCATTCGATTTATTTTATGGTTTTTTTTTTCTCTAATTGTAAATTAGAAATCTAATTAGATTCTGGGATACATGGGCAGATCATGCAGGATTGCTGCATAGGCACACACATGGCAATGTGGCTTGCTGCCTCCTTCCCCCTGCAACCGATATCTGGCATTTCTCCCTATGTTATCCCTCCCCAGCCTCTCTACCCACCACTGCCCCTGCCCTAGTCCCCCACAACTGACCCCAGTGTGTGATGCCCCACTCCCTGTGTCCATGTGTTCTCATTATTCAACACCTGCCTATGAGTGAGAACATGCAGTGTTTCATTTTCTGTTCTTTTGTCAGTTTGCTGAGAATGTTAGTTTCCATATTCATCCATGTCCCTACAGAGGATACAAACTCATCATTTCTTATGGCTGCATAGTATTCCATGGTGTATATATGCCACATTTCCTTGTCCATTCTATCACTGATGGGCATTTGGGTTGGTTCTAGGTGTTTGCTATTGTAAACAGTGCCACAATGAACATACGTGTGCATGTGTCTTTATAATAGAATGATTTATAATCCTTTGGATATATACTCAGTAATGGGATTGCTGGGTCAAATGGAATTTCTCTTTCCAGGTCCTTGAGGAATTGCCACACTGTCTTCCACAATGGTTGAACTAATTTACACTCCCACCAACAGTGTAAAAGTGAAATTCTTTTCACGTGCTTATTTGCCCTTTGTGCATCTTCACAGATGTGTTTAGTCCTATCTTTTGCCCATTTGCTAATTGGATTCCTTGTTTGTTTTTACTGTTGACTTTTTAGAAGTTTTTTTACATATTCTGAATACTCATCCTTTGTTGGATATGTGGTTTGCAGATATTTTCTCCCAGTCTGTGACTTTAATGATGTTATTTAAAAAATTACATTTTTCAATTGTTCATTCCTAGTATATGGATATACTACTTATTTGTGTATAGTAATCTTATATCCTGTGATTTTGTTAAATCTGCATACTATTTCGGCTGGCTTTTTTGCAGATTCATTAAGATTCTGTACATGTTTTTTACAAGTAAAAACATTTCTTTTGTAGAAAATACTTCTTGCCTTTTTTCCTTGGCTTATTTCACTGGAAAGGATATCCGGTACATTGTTGCCGAGTTGCTGAGAGTAGACCTATTTGCCTGGATGGCAATCTTAGAGGGAAAGTATTTACTCTATTATCACATTAGCAGCAGTTATTTTATAGCTACCCTTTATCAAGTTGAGGAAATTCCCTTCTATTCCTAACTTAGACTTTTTTTTCTATCATGAATTGATACTAGATTTTTGTCAAATGATTTTTCTGTGTTTGTTTGCAGTATCTTATATTTTTTCTCTTAAATTTCTAAATTTTTTTTCAGTGATTGCTTTTCCAGTGTTGTACCAACATCGTCCTTGGGTTAAACTTCCGTTGTTCATAATGTATTACTTTTTAATATATTGTTGGATTTGAATTGGTAATATTTGTAATATCTCTGAATATTTGGATGAGATACATTTGTAATATCTCTTCTGCATGTACTCATAAGTATATATCATGCCAATTTAGCTTTGCTATATTTCTATTTAACTAGAGTATTTTGTTTAGTTTTGCTTTGTCTTTTCCAATTCTTTATGGAAGAAGATTTGAATTTTGGGACCAAGTGTTTTTAGTATTTGAGGTATCATTTTGTTTATCTTAGATACTTTCTGGACATTCTCTAATTATTGGAAATTGTATTTGTAAAATATCTTAAAACAGCCCTTTATAATGAAAATGTTGATCGTGAAATTGTAGTTGCTGTTTGATGAATAAAATAATGGGCATAAAAGAGAAATTGTTTAGTCTTAACAAATTACCAAGCATATGATTCTTAGCCTTTATCAATACTGATAGGTGAGAGAGAGCTTAGGGAAGCATATGTCCATAGTCTACAGTTTACTTGGCATTACTGTTATTTGAATGAGAATGAAATGAGTTGATGAAAATTAATGAGTTTTTTGGGGGTAGTCCTAATTTCTACATAAAGTTCTATATCTACTTTTGAAAGCATTCAAAATGCAATCTAACATTTGTAGTAGGTCATTGAGATTCTACAGTATATATGATGTCCCTTAGGAGGGCATCAAATGAATTTATTTTGATACAGAACTCTAGCAGTTAAGCTTTGTTGGCTCTATTCCTGTCATGGGGATATAAGAATATTTCTAAGATTTTTACTTATCCTATTTCAGTGCTTGTCAGATTGGTTGGTTATTGCTGTGTTACTCAAAAAATATCAAGGTATAGAAAAGGGGACTAGAAGTTGAGTCCACAGTGTTAGACTGTCTCTCTTTTTTACTTAATGTGTCTTCTGCAAGTCAGTTAGCCAGTCTGATCTTTACTTTTATTTAAAATGGGAATTGATGATGGAAAAAAGTGTAAAATTGAAATATTCTATTTCATATTTCAGTCTGAAAACTTGGAGAATACAGTAATCATACCAGATATCAAACTACATAGCAATCCTTCTGCTTTCAATATTTACTGTAATGTACGTCATTGCGTTCTGGAATGGCAGAAAAAGGAAATATCGTTGGCAGCTGCATCTAAGAACTCTGTGCAGAGTGGAGAATCAGATAGTGATGAAGAAGAGGAATCCAAAGAGCCCCCTATCAAGCTTCCAAAGGTAAGCCATTGAGTTCTATTAATATTTAGATGTATATCCTGCAGGTGTTTTGGCTACAATACATATATATGCATTGCTAGAGTACCTTGCTTTGTGTAAAATTGTGCACTAAAAATAACACAGCTATGGGCAAAAGTAGATTTCGAGTAGAAAAGGAAAATTGTACAACTTTGTAACTAGGGGTAATTGATAATTCACTGGAAAGCATAGGAAGGGAGATCATTGCGTTGGGGTCTGTTACAGAGGCAATTAAAAATGTACAAAAGCAGTAGGGTAGAAATGCTTGTAAGCAGAGGCATTGATACATGGCCGTTGGAAGGAGAGCTCCGAGCCAGTGGGCTGAGAATAAGGTGGGCACAGGAGAAAGCCAAGAGCCCTGGAAAGCTGGGAGGTTCTCCATGCTTGGGATGCAGGTATACATTTTTATTTTTCTTGAAATAGAAGGACAAAGACTCACAGCTGTGCAGTAGCTGGGCTGAGAGCCTTGTCCTTTTTTGCTTAAGCTTAGAATTGTGCTCTTGATATTGTGGCTTCCCTTGATTGGGAAAAAAAAAAATCACAAACAAACCAACTCAACTTCTGCTTTATTCTGATATTACTCCCTGATTTACCGGGAGCATATATTCTAGTTGGTATTTCTATAATAGAAATGTTATTGTAGGCCAGGCATGGTGGCTCACACCTGTAATCCCAGCACTTTGGGAGGCTGAGGTGGGTGGACCACCTGAGGTCAGAAGTTTGAGACCATCCTGGCCAACAAGGTAAAAGCTCATCTCTACTAAAAATTCAAAAATTAGTCAGGCATGGTGGCAGGCACCTATAGTCCCAGCTACTCAGATGCTGAGGCAGGAGAATTGCTTGAACCCAGGAGGTGGAGGTTGCAGTGAGCCAAGATCATGTCATTGCACTGCAGCCTGGGCAACAGAGTGAGACTGTCTCAGAAAAAAAAAAAAAAACAACCCAAAAATGTGTGTTGTAGAACTATTTTCAGTGTACTCTGTTCTGTGTAAGTATTGGTATATTTAAGACTAGAAGGTTGTTTTCTATATTTTTTTCTATATAATAGACATAGTTTGTATTTATAACAAAAAATAGGTGAAAATACAGACTTTTTAAGTGGTGCTTTTATCTGACTTATACATATTACTTTTTCTTAGCAGAGACTTAGTCAAAATGATTTTTAAATTTTATATGACTTATGTGCTATTGCCTTTTTACTAAACTGATACCTTAAAATTATGCCTTGAAAACTACACATATGTGCAAGGGATTGCATAAATATTTTTTATGACTTGGAAATAGCAGCGTAAATGGAACCTGGTCTGAGTTCTCTTGCACATTTTGTGGTGGCTGTTCCTAGGTGCACCACCATCCTTAATATATGCTCAGGTTCTTCTCACCTTATTCTCAGCAGATGGCTTGCTTCATATTTCATAGAGTAATAAAGGTTTTGTGAGCTTACTCAGCTTCTTGATCAGCTATTTTCAGATGTCCTTTTTCCTCCTGTTTTAGAGTAGGACCCTTTTCTTTTTCTTATTTCCTTTATCTGCAGTGTCCTAACTGCACCTACTGTAATAGCTTCTTTCTTTAATCTAAAGCAAACATGTTTATCTTTTTCTATGGGAGCCCCTCTACGTAAAAATTATAGTCTCTAATTGTAATTTCTTATGCTTAAGTAGGAGAGATTGAGATAAAAAAACATAGTTAAGTTAGGACGTAAGGCTGCAGGACTTGTATAATTTACTTTCGAGTTAGAATACCAATTCTATGTATGGGCGAGTCACACTGTATTGTGTAATTGTGCTATTTAAGTTCAGTATTGTGAGAGAAAACAAAGGCCTGGATAAAGTTTTTACATAGGTATGCAGATTTTAAATAGTAAACTGTAGTTCAAATTAAATTGCATAAACAAGAACAACGGATTCTTAGGCTGTTTTAAAACATTAGGATAAATGAGTAGGCATTCTTTTTTTTTTTTTTTTTTTTTTTTGAGACGGAGTTTCGCTGTTGTTACCTAGACTGGAGTGCAATGGCACGATCTCCATTCACCGCAACCTCCGCCTTCTGGGTTCAAGCAATTCTCCTGCCTCAGCCTCCCGAGTAGCTGGGATTACAGGCGCGCAACACCATGCCCAGCTAATTTTTGTATTTTTAGTAGAGACGGGGTTTCACCTTTTTCACCAGTATGGTCTTGATCTCTTGACCTCGTGATCCACCTGCCTTGGCCTTCCAGAGTGCTGGGATTATAGGCGTGAGCCACCGTGCTTGGCCGAGTAGGCATTCTTAAGATAATCTTTTGTAGCATAATTAATAGAGTCAAAGGGAGATCTTTCAAAGAAAATCAAAAGAAGATCAGACAGCCCAAGTGATTAATACTGAATTTCCCATCAAGTACTGACCTCTCTGCAAACAGGGTTAACATGGGTTATGGAGCCAAACTGCTGGGGCTCAAACACCATTAAAATTACTAGCTATGTGACACTGGAAGTTATTTGACATTTCCATGCCTCGGTTTTGTCATCTATAAATTGGGATTGCATCTACCTCATAGGGTTGTAGTGACAATTTAAATGAATTAATGGATGTTGAGTGCTTGAGAGAACAGTACCTGGCAGAAAAAAGTGCTCAGTAAATTATATATATAGTTATAAGTGTCAGGTTAGGTGCAAACAAGAAAATGTGTAGGTGCAAATGAATTTGAGTTACTTGTCAAGGAACTCTTCAGTTTATTTAAAAAATTATGCAAGCAAATGAAACTTCAGGAGAATCAGTGCAATTGCCTGATGAATGAGAGATGAAGAGAGAGGAAGAAGTGATGAGATGCCTCTGTGCAGAGGCAAGCAGATACTATGGGTGGGGAGTGAAACTTTCGGGTGATATTTTTTGGCAGTCATTTCCATGACATGAAGGATTGACAGTGAGGATGAAATTAGTCTTTTAAGGTTTGAGGTGATGGTATTTGAAGGCAAGTGGGAAATGTTGGCATTTTTCTTTTCGTTTTGACCATCTCTGTGCCTCAGCCTTAAATGCTGCTGTCTTTTATCCTAGCTTGATCCTTTTCTTTATTCCCCTGTTGCTCCTCCCAAGCATTTGGTTGTCCCTTTCCTTCTCCTCTGAGGTTTCTGTCTCTCTTACTCTTTTTTTTTTTACATGATTAAAACAGTTTTTATCTGTCGTTGAAATACAGTTTTATTTTTCCCATTCTTGAGCTTTAAAATTTAGTTTGACTGTTATATAGACCTTGTCACCTTTTTTTTTTTGCTTTTGCTTTTGTTTTTGTATTTAAAGGAGCTTTCTATTTCCTGAATGATTCTATATTAAGTTTTTTACCCAGTTCAAACTGTCACTAAAATCTAGATCCTCTAAAACTTTACAGATTTTATAGCTACATAATTTGTATTATTTAAATTTTTATTTTGAGACAGGATCTGGCTCTGTCACCGAGGCTGGAGTGCAGCGGTGCGATCTCAGCCCACTGCGTCTTTTGCCTCCCTGACTCAAGTGATCCTCCCATCTCAACCTCCCGAGTAGCTGGGACTGCAGGCATTTGCCAACATCCCAGGCTAAGTTTTATATTTTTAGTAGAGATGGGGTTTTGCCATGTTGCCCAGGCTGATCTTGAACTCCTGAGCTCAAGCAGTCTGTCCACCTCAACCTCCTAAAGTACTGGGATTACAGCCTGGAGTATAATTTTTAAATAGTACCACTTAGAATTCATACTTCCCATGTGAACCCATTTGAAGCCAGTCATGCCATATTACTAAAAGATTTAGACTTACATAGGATCATTTATTTCTTAATTCAGTATATTCTTTTTGAATTTATAGGCAGCATTGAATTAGGTCCTGAGAACAGAAGGATGAGACTTAATTCCTGCCCTTAAGAAAGCATTGTCTTGTGGGGATAAGAAGCAGGTCAATAATTATTCTCTAGTGCCTTAAGGATTGATAGGGAGTGCTCTATGTAGTGGGAACACATTGGAGAAAGGACTCAACACTGGTTGAGATAGAGCGAGAGAGAGAGAGAGAGCAGGAAGCTAAATCATGAAAGGCCTTATGTGCCATGTAATTGATTCAGATGTTATCTTGTGATTAGGAAATACTAAAGATTTTAAGTCAAAAGAGTATCATCAGACTTGCATGATTGCATCAGACTTGGCACCCTTTAGTTATGGATATGCCTTGCTAACCCTGGGGTAACTTTGTAAGGTTACTCCAGTTAGTTATGGATATGCCTTACTAATTGGAGTAACCTTACAAAGTTACTCCAGTGTTAGTTATATCCAGTTAGTTATGGATATGCCTTACTAATTGGAGTAACCTTACAAAGTTACTCCAGTGTTAGTTATATCCAGTTAGTTATGGATATGCCTCACTAACTGAAGTAATCTTAAAAGTTACTCTAGTGTTGTTAGTAAGGCATATCCATAACTAAAGGGTGGTGAGTGAGTTTGGAGACAGAGGAACCATTTAGACAGCTGTTGCAGTTGTCTAAATGAGGGTTGGAATTATGATAGTGACAGTGTTTTGAATATAAGAAATGTTAAGCAGAATTGACAGGAATTGGTAATAAATTGGCTATAAAGGCTGAGAAAGAAGACAGAATCTAAAGATATTTTTAAAGCTTTTGCGTGGGGAGGCCATTTCTGAAAGAGGGAAAACTGGATGAGGATGACGATCAAGTTTAGTTCTGCACATGCTGATCTTGAGATAAATGTGAAGTGTCCAGTGTATACTATGTAGGGCTGAAGTTCAAAAGAAAGGTGCCAGCTAGAAATATAGATTTGTGAGTTATCACTATGTAGGCACAAGATGAAACACATTTCTGTGAGAGACAGCGGGGTGTGGAATCAAGAACATTGTTTGAAAAAACAACTTTGAAAAGTTGAAAAGTTTTGAAAAGTTCTCTTCCTCTGGGTGTGAAGAGAAGGGACGAGGATGGCAGTAGTCATAGATAAATTTGTATGTTAGAGGTTAGGAACTTAGAAAATTAGAAACTTCACACTTATACTTTCTTTTATTTTTTCCCCTGAGATGGAGTTTTGTTAGCTCTTGCTGCCCAGGCTGGCGTACAATGGCACGATTGTGGCTCACTGCAACCTCCACCTCCTGGGTTCAGGCGATTCTCCTGCCTCAGCCTCCCAAGTGGCTGGGATTACAGGCATGCGGCACCATGCCTGGCTAATTTTGTATTTTTAGTAGAGATGGGTTTTCACCGTATTAGTCAAGCTGGTATGCAACTCCTGACTTCAGGTGATCTGCCCACCTTGGCCTCCCAAACTGCTGAGATTACAGGCGTGAACCATCACACCCAGCCCCACATTCATACTTGCTGAGAAGCAGAATTCTCGGCCTTTCCCTTCTCCTCCTCTCCCTCTTCTGCTGCCTCTTCCCCCTCCCTTTTTCTCTGTCTCTAGATTTTTAAATTTTTTATTACTTGTAGATATTATCTCTGTACCAAACATTTGCTTTATACAAACAATTTAAAAAGGCAGTATGCTTTAACTATGGTAATATGTAAATATAATTTTGATTTCCTTTTGAGCTTTTCCAAATATAAACATATTGGAAGTGATTTTAGGACTTTTTAACTGAACAAGATACAATTTTTAAGGGTAAAGTGTTAATTATTATTAAATCCAAATGTGATGTAACTAAACTTTTATGATCACACTTATTCATGAAATAATAAAGTCACATTTGGAAATATGTGATTTGAAAAGAGCAAAATAAAACCTTGAAAGTCTCATTATGTATATCATTTTTCTGTGGACAGATATATTTTTATCTCATTTTTCTAGCATATTAGACTGGCAGTATCAGGTAATTATTTTGGCACTATGTTCCTTTATTTTCAAATATAATAGATAACCTTCAAAATTTAATTATTTCAGAGCAGCAGCAAAGGTAAAATTCAGTAAATTTATAAAAACCTATTTTCTGAAGAGAGGTGCAAAACCATGTGTTGGGTAGATATAGTTCATTGTTGAAAGTATTGAAACTTCTTGTGTTCTTTTATTGTTATAATTATTATTTTACTTAAATGTCACATTTATTAATTTATTTTGCTAATTGTAAAAGCAGCTCATATTCATTGTAGATAATTTGAAAAATCAGAACATTTTTCTAAAGAGGAAATAAAAATCAGAAGTAATATTTGAAATCCCATTAACCAAAATATACCCCAATATAAACATTTTTATTTCTTTTGTCATTTTTCCTATGTACACATTAAAATATGTTTTTCACACACAAATGAAATAATACTATATTGGCAGGACTGTATTTTTTCTCTTTATACTCTTCCTTCCTGATACTGAAAAAGGGAGAAATATATGTTTTCATTGACTGTCAGACTTCAAACTATTTTAAAGTCTATTTTCAAAGTTCAAACTTTTGGTAAAATATTCTGTACTCAGCCAAACAGCAGAAAAGGACTTATCTAAGAGCATGTTTGGTACCTCTGTGCAATAATCCATAGCTAAATGTTAAAAATTCTTTAATAGTTGTAGAACTAGAGGTTGATTTTTGTTGTATGTTAAATATATACTGCTATTCTGAAAATGACTGTTTTCCAATTTGTTAAACAATGGAAGTCTGCAGTGAACCAAGATAAGGTTTATTAGTGAGACTCCCACGGTGTTTAACCTAGACAGATGAGGAGTCCTATATCATGATCATTGTGACCAAAGTTTTATGGGTCTGTCCCACCAAAACCAGTGACCTGTGTTTCCAAGCAGCCTACCCGATTGCCTATTGCCATACACTTGTTATTACACCTTTCCAGAGAGACAGCTCAAGAACCTGTTCATTAAGTAATCTTATTGTTTCTGGCAAGGTCCAATAATTCCTTTGTCACTGTAGGAAACTTTATCTATAATAAATGAACCCTAACCAAAAAGGTCATCTGTAAAGAATCCTCTTGGAATGATGAAAAGTCATGGTTGGTAGTAAACAATCTGAAAGAATGACAGAATATAGTAGTCTTCTGTTGACTTGACAGTAGAGCCCCACATTTTGTACTCTGGAGATCTTTGACTTCAGATTTCTCTTTCCTGTAAGTACATAAGCAGATGGAAATCTTGGACAGCATGTTTCTATTTTCTAGTCCATTCCAGGAAAAGAAACTATATCAAATGAAAAAGTTTCATCACTTAATGTGTTTAATCAGTTGAAACTCTATGCAAACTTTTCTGTAATATTAGCTATAATTAAGTCTGTTAGGATTTTAGATAACTTTTCTAAAGACAGTTCTTCTAGCAGATAACTAGAAGTCAAATAAACTTCTAAGCTATATCTATAGTTTCCAGAAAACTTGCAGATGTTAATCAGAACTACAGTTGACTTACCTTCAGCTGATTTGCCTCTTGTCTGGAAAATGTATTTCTAAGACGCAGTGGTTTTTAGCACACAACTTAGTGAATAATTAAACAAATATTAAATGTGTGCCTACCATATGCTAGGCAATTGCCCAGGCATGGAAAGTATTAAGCCATTTAAGACATGTTCCTTGACTATTGGAAGACCACAGTATAGTTGGGAAAATGAAAACAAAAATAGTTACAATGTCATGTAATAAATGTGTAACATTGGTCTGGACAGGATATGAATTATATACATGACTAACTTACCCTGTTAGATTACAAACTCTTAGAGGACAGAGTCTAGTATACCTTCATATTTCCTAAAGTGAGTTTGTACAGTATGAGTGCTTAGGAGGTATTTATATAATATATGCACTAACGTAAAAATAGCAGAGAGAATATTCTTCTGCTGTTGCATTCAATAGAATTAATGCTTTCAGGAGTTTTGACCTAGTCTTATTTGAATTTTTTGTTACTTCTCCAAACAATTTACTTAATACTTCCTGAAGAAATCTTATAAATCTGGTTCTCAGAATGTTGGTATTGCCTGAGAAATGGAATTTGTCTTTTGTTTTATCAGCCTTATGAAGGTATATCCTTAAACTCATTCATTACAATTTGCTCTCTCAATCTTTAGTAACAGATTTATCTCCTTTGCTAGATATTGAGTCTGAGTTTTCTTGCACTTCATGAGGAATGTTAAGATTAATAAAGGAAAAGTACCAGTGATATTTTTAGCGAAGCACTTTTAAATTCTTTTGTGATCATCTATAAAAAGAAGGGATACCACCTATAAATAATAATATAGTGATTATACCATTATAGAAAAGGCTAAGATGAAAAGTTTCTTATAAAATCTTTTTACGATATGTTGACTTTATTTCTGGTTATAAGTAACAATTAACATGACTTTTCACAAAAAGAGTACTGAGTTTTTCTTGAATACAACCAAATGAACTTTGCAAATTAATACAGTTTTTTCTTCTCAGTGAATGCAATCTAGTCTCTAGTTCACTGTTGTAAGCCATTTTCATGATATTTTATTATGGCCCCATTATACTAAAACTACGTTTTAAGCATGCAACTGTTTTTCAGCTTTCCATGTAACCAGATGGTTTTCTAAATCTTCCTGTTAAATACACTGGATTTTATTTTTTAACATATTGCTTTTTAAATGTTGCAACAGTTTATCATTTGCTGTAGGAGTGACTTGTACCAACTAAACTGCCTAGAAAGTGTTGTTAGCTTTCATGTCATAAAGTATACATATTTTTTCCTTTTAAATAGATTATTGAGGTTGGCCTTTGTGAAGTTTTTGAATTGATCAAGGAGACACGGTTTTCTCATCCATCCCTGTGTCTCAGGAGTCTCCAAGCCCTGCTCAACGTGCTACAGGGCCAGCAACCAGAAGGCCTCCAGTCTGAGCCACCCGAGGTCCTAGGTAAGAGCCAAGGACTCTTACTCACTGAGTGAAGCATTTGAAAGTGAATATAATTAATAATAGAGTATTGTATACTTCAAAAGTGTTGAGACTATTTATAAAGTTCTTACCACAGAAAATGTCTAGTACTTGAGGTGATGGATGTTAATTAGTCCACATTTTATTCATGAATCATAAATCACTTTATACCCTGTAAATTTATACAATTATAAATTGTCAATTTACAGTTTTTTAAAAGTGAGGAGCTTCTCTTATGAAGCACACACAGCCTATAATGCAGTCTTTATTTAATTTTGGTACTGAAACACCAGGGGTATAAGGTTTAAAGTATTTTTTCCTGTGTTCTACTGAAGTTATGGTTTAAGAGTTGAAGTTCATGTTCACATGTTTCTTTATTGTGATGAAGGGGGGCAAATAAAACATAAATCCCTGGAATCCAGAAATAATCCTCAAACCTTAAAGTCACTGTGTTGGCCAAAATAGCAAACATTCACTTTCTCTAACTTGTTACTCTCAATAGTTTTAAAAAATAGGGAAAAGGAAATAAATGCCACAAACCTGAAACAGTACATTTTGTTTCCAAATTGAGGGGACATTTCTTTTGTATTCATCATAAATAAAAATTTGTGTTATGGATTAAGCTTCTGACTTAGCAACTTTCATTAAGTAAAGAAAGGTGTTTGCTTTTCTTAAAGTGTGTTCTGGTTGTCTGGATTCTTGCCTTTCATATGAGTGACCTAGGCTCGACATGTAATCCTTTAAATGAGAGGAGCTTTTACTTAGAAGGTATTAAGGCATAGAAATATAGATGGAAGCAAAAGCTTTAACTGGTTAATTGCTTTTTTTCTCTGATGCTAACTATAGGCCTTTAACCTGTCTAAAGTTTTCTAGATTCTTCTAGCATTATAGGAAAATTCTCAGAATTACTAGAGCTGGGGTTCTCAAGCGTTAGCATGTATCAGAATTATCTGGGCCTTCCATCTGGAGTTTCTGATTCCATAGACTTGGGGTGGGGCCCAGAAGTTTGTATTTGGAATAAGTTTCTTGGTGATGCAGGTGCTGGTTTGGAGACTACACTGATGGTTTAGACTAAGGCTTGGTCCTTTTTTTCTACTTGGCTATTTTTAGATTTTGTAGGACCCACTTTTGAAAACCAAATTGCATGAGCCTAACTACTTGTCAAATTTCTCTTTTTTTGGTTGCATATGGAAATTTAGTTTTTGAGTTTGACTTTTGTTTGTTTGTTTGTTTTAATGAGAAGGAGGATGCTAGTCATTAAAACAAGCTGAGGATTTTTAAAACCACCCCACTCACATACACAGTTATTCAAAGCTATTAACAAATAAAAGCTGTCATGTTGAGAAGCAAGCACATTGTTGTGATAGCACCAGTAATCTTGTTAATATTGTGAAGTGCTGCTTGGCTTGACAGCACTTTATTGAAGATTTGATTTATTTTATTAAACAATATTTTGCTGGGTTTTCTTGGGCCCCACCCAGATCTGTGGAATCAGAAACTCTGTCACATGCTTTGGTTTGTCAATTAGCAAATAATTGGAGTGTTAAAATATCCACTGAGACTTGTATGTCACATTTCCTACTTTGAACATGTTACTTCTTTCCTCCTAAGTCTTCTACCATTCTCATGTCGGCTGTTATACACTTTCCTTTGTATCCATTCTGTACATACTTTCTTTCCTTTATTCTTTTAAAACTAGAACTTGTTCTTAATACTAGCTTTGAAATATAATGTGTGCTTTAGCCTTATTTTCTTCTATCAAAACTTTCACATTATTGTCTGGGTGTGGTGGCTCATGCCTGTTATTTCAGCACTTTGGGAGGCTGAGGCAGGAGGATTGCCTAAGGATGGGAGTTTGGGACCAGTCTAGGCAACTTGGTAAGACCCCTGTCTCTAAAAAAAAAAAAAAAAAAAAAATGGACATGGCAACAAGTACTATTCAGGAGGCTAAGGTGGGAGGATTGTTTGAGTCCAGGAGCCTGAGGCTACAGTGGGCTGTGATCATACCACCGCACTGCACTTATAGCCTGGGTGACACAGTGAGACCTCCTCTCTACCAAACAACAACAAAAAACTAAAAAACCCCACAAAACCCAAAAACCTTTCACCTTATTAATTTGTTCATTTTTATTTTCTTATAAAAGTTTCACATTCTGACATACTGCCTTTGGTCTGTCTTCCATCCTTTCATTGTTTACTTCTGATCTCATCCTGTTTTGACTTATTTTTCTATGTAAGGGATTTATATTTTTTATTTTGTTAAATAAGCTTAAAGATAAAAGCACTAGTTTGGTTTTTTTATACTAAATTTCTGTTGAAACTTGACTCTCCTCCTTTATTTAATCTAATATCATAGTCTCATTGGTTATCCTTTTTTTTCCATTTGGTTGTTTTCATGTTATTCATAATAATATATGTATATTTGTATAACTCTTACTGTGGAATATCTTGATGATTAGTATACAGCAAACTTCTCTTTGCAAATAGTTTTTTATTTTAAATCATCTATTTAAAAATTTATTTCCTTATCTCCATCTCTCTGTTCAATTAGAGTGTTATATTCTCAAGTATTCACTAAAATGTAATAGCACCACCTTTGTTATCTGCTAAGATTGTGTGATACCATTGCTGTTATTGTGGAACTTAGCATCAGACAGTTGGATACGTGTATTATTACAAATGTGGATAAATTGTATGGAGGAAAATAGAAGGAGTTCTTTTTTGTTTTTTGAGACAAGAGTCTCACTCTGTTGTCCAGGCTGGAATGCAGTGGCAGGATCTTGGCTCACTGCAACCTCTGCCTCCCGAGTTCAAGCAATTCTCCTGCCTCAGCCTCCTAAGTAGCCAGGACTACGGATGCATGCCACCACACCCGGATAAATTTTGTATTTTTAGTAGAGACAGGGTTTCACTATGTTGATCTCAGGTGATCTACCTGCCTTGGCCTCCCAAAGTGCTGGGATTACAGGCATGAGCCACTGCACCTGGCCAAGATTTCTTTTTTGAACTTAAAAAAATTTTATTTATTTATCTTTGGGGACAGGGTCTCACTATATTGCCCAGGGTAGACTCAAATCCTGGACTCAAGTGATCCTCCTTTCTCTGCTTCCCAAGTAGCTGTGACTATAGTCCTACACTGCTGCACCCAGCTCCTTCTCAGAGTCTTTGATAGGCTCCCTGAATGGCATTTGAGATTTAGAGGGTGAATAGGAGGGAGTGAATTAGATTATAAATGTTCCAGGCAGAAAGAACAGCATGCAGTAAGGCTCTGAGACAGAAAGGAGAATGCAGGAAAAGAAGAGCAATATTACAGGCCAAGTTAAAGAATTTGATTATTGGACTAGGAGGAATGGAAAGTCATTCTGTATTTCGTTACACTAAGAATATTCTTTTTAAAATAGCCTTATTCAATTATTTGTTTAAATTATTGACTCTTTTCTTTCACTGGAATCTAACCTTTTTGAAAGGGTAGAGACGTTATTTGTCATGTTTGCCAATAACCTGATGTAGAATAGTTGGTAATGTGCGGGAGTTCAGTAAATATTTGCTGAGTAACCGACCGATGTACTCTCTGAAGGGTAATAATTGGAGGAAGGATGGGTAGATGGAAATATGGACAAACAGGGATAGATGAAAGGATGGAGGGAAGGCAGGATAGCTGGAGGGAAAGGTAGAGGAAAGGATAGATGGAAAAAGTGAAACTATAGGATGTACAGACAAGTGAAGAGAGGGAGGGAGAAAGAAAAGAAGGAAGAGGAAGACGGGAGGAAGGAAGTAACAAAGGAGTGAAAGGATTTTTAGTAGATAATTCGATTTTTGGTTTGAAATTCTCCCTGGCTATTGGGGCAAAAGTGAATGGTAAGAGAATTTCTTAACACTTTTTAGTCAAAGAGATGATGGTAGCATGGATTGGAAAGATGGTGATGAGATAGAGAAAAGAGGAATTATCAATTAGGAAGTAAAATAAACAGGACTTAATTTGGGATTCGCTGTGGAAGATGAGAGATTGGTAGGGCACCTAGGTTTCTGTGAATTACCAGGTAATGCACAGGTGACATTTTAGTTTTTAGAGAATTGCAGTACATTACTCCTCATTCTCTTGCTCTCCTTCCTCTCTCCCTTTCCTTTCCCTCTGTCCATCTTTCTCAGTTTTTCTGACTCTCTTTTTCTCTTTCCATCTGGTTATTTACTCTTTAGGAATTTTTAAATCTCCTTTCTCTGGAAGAAATACCCAGATGTTTGGATGTAGGTTTTCAGGGAATTTTGTGTGGAGACCTCTGCTGCTTGTAAAATGTGTGTGTGTGTGTGTGTGTGTGTGTGTGTGTGTGTGTGTGTTTCATCTTTGCTACTAACTGACTTTAAGATTTTGGAAAAAATTTTTAACCAGCCCATGTCTCAATTTCATTATTAAAAGAGGAGAATATCTGTCCTATTGACTTGGAGGTTTTTCTAGGGCATAAATTAATTACATCCTCTCTCTTTAAGTGTGAATTGCTATTATGTTAATGATATAGCCAATTTTATATTAAAGCACATTATGGTGTATGTTTTATGTTTCTATTATTTTGAAAATATATACATAATTTCCTGGGCACTTAACATTTTAAGAAGCCTCCTAATCTAAAAGAGTAAGTATGGTAAGTAGTCTATTATTTGATAAGATGTGTTTCTTGAGTATGTGAATGCCTCTAAGCAAGCTTGTTTTAAATGACCTTAGATTTCCTTTTTTTACTTAGAAAAATAAGGAGTTGAGCTGAATGTTCCTTAAGGCCCTTGTTCCATAAATATTTTAACTTTGGGGAAAAAGAGTAGAGAGAAACTAATGCAGAGTAATTGTTCTGGATGCCTTAAATTTTGTTTATAATGAGACAAAATTAAAATAAATAAATATACGCATATAATGTTCTGTATGTTGGATGAGTATAATTGAATTCTATTTTATCCACAGAGTCTCTCTTCCAGCTTCTTTTGGAAATCACTGTTCGAAGTACTGGGATGAATGACAGCACAGGACAGTCCTTAACAGCACTTTCCTGCGCTTGCCTCTTTAGTCTGGTGGCTTCTTGGGGAGAAACAGGAAGGACACTTCAGGCCATCTCTGCTATCCTCACCAACAATGGAAGCCATGCTTGCCAAACTATTCAGGTATTTCATGTTTACATCTGCTTAAAAATTTATAAGATGCCAAGTCGCAGTTTCATCTCAATTTCTGTCAGTAGGAATCCTGCTTTTTCTCGCTCATTATAGTAGCTTGATCTATCCAAGATTGATATATAAATAATCTACAGTATTTCGGCTAAGTGATATGTTTGTTTAACTCTAAAGCTTTAAATATAATAAAATTAACTTTGTCCAGACCTCTTAAATCTTTAAGCTGGTCTTTGCGTTAACATCATCGCCTTCTCTTTCCTTACTGTTGTTTTGCTCTCTGCGTTCTCCCCTCTTAGCATCTTTCCCTGAATTTTTTAGCATGGAATTCCTTCATAGTTTTAATTATCTTTTCTCTATTGAAAGAAAAAGATATGTTATCAATCTGACATAGTTTTGATTTTTTATGAATTGATTTGTTTATGAGTTGCTTCAGCTATGTATGTAACATTTTAGGCTTTTAGTATTCAGTTGTGGAACAAATAAGCTCGTCACCATTTTAGTGGTGGGAAAAATAATCCTTCTTATAGACAAAATTGACATAATTATTTGGGAAGGCTCTGCAAATTGAGAAAGAAGTTATGATTTCAAGACCTGACTGTCTACTCTTCTCTGGCCCCTTGGGCAACCCCAGAGCAGATGGAAGGGGTGCCTGAATCCTGTTATTAGCAGATCAAAGATAGCAAAAGGAGGATATTGTTCATTTTCTGTCTTATTCAGTGATCTTGACTCTCTTGGTCAAACATGAGCCATTCCCTTACTCTAGTTTTCTGTTCTTCCCTTTCTTTCTGCCTTGTTTAGAATCCTTTTGTCCCTTTCTATAGTCCCTAATTATTTTGCAGTTGTTCTAATACAGTGGTTTTCAAGCTGTGTTCTGTAGGCATGCTTTCAGAGTTTGGCAAATGTTCAAATATATCTTTAAAATATACAAATATTTTAAAAATTGTAATAAAATAGCACAAGTATTCAGATACCATATACCGGATTTTAATAGCATAGTGACTACCAACATATGAGCTTATGAATTTTGATGTGATTTGTTTTTATATAGAGACTTAGGACTGCCATTAGAGCTCATAGCAGGACTACATGAACTATGTTCATGGAAAGTGTCCCAGAGGATATGAGGTGAGATCTAACCAATGAATTGAAATTAGCCAGGAGAAATTGTTGGTGTTGGTGGTGTAGAGAGAGAGTGTTCTAGGTATCCACATGCTAAGACATGGAGGTGAGAGTAAGAGTGGAATTTTTGAAAGCTGAAACAAGTTTTGTATAGCTACAGCATAGAGAGCTGGCAAATAGTATAGCTAGGTATGGCATAGAGAGCTGGCAAATAACAGAGATAGGACTCAAGGGCTTATCTGTCTCCAATATTATATTCAACAACTAGACTACACAAAACTACTTGGTGCTCTGAATCAATAGCTGTGGTTCTCTATATACCTGTCACATCACTACATCCTCGACTGTAGCCAAAACACCGTATTAAAGCCCATTACCTTAACATGGCTTATGATGCTCTTCATGATTTGGCCTTTTATATGCCAACTTCATTTCACAAAACTCTCCTGGCCTGACTATTGGTAGAGGGAGAAAAGCTTTCCCTGAGAATGTGTGTATTAGTCCATTTTCATGCTGCTGATAGAGACGGACCCGAGACTGGGCAATATACAAAAAAAAAAAAAGAGGTTTAATGGAGTTACAGTTCCACATGACTGGGGAAGCCTCACAATCATGGTGGAAGGCAAGGAGGAGCAAGTCACATCTTACATGGATGGCAGCAGGCAAAGATAGCTTTTTCAGGGGAATTACTCTTTATAAAACCATCAGATCTCATGAGACTTATTCACTACCATGAGAACAGCACAGGAAAGACTTGTGCATGTGATTTAGTTACCTTCCACTAGGCCCCTTCAAGATGAGATTTGAGTGGGAACACAACCAAACCATATCAATGTGTATAACTCTTCACATCTCAGATTTGTTTTGGCACCCAAATTCATATGACTTGTCTATTCCAAAGCGCTTAACAGGGAGTTGAAAGCAGGGTAGACATGGTAGTACTGCTAGGTGCCATGTTGAAGGAGACTGAAATTGTTTCTTGCGGGTTGAACTCTCAACTTCAAAGGCATTCTGCAGATAAAACATTATTGCATTTGAGCTCAGAAACAAATTAATAAAAAAGGCACCATTATTGAGAGTTAGCAGAAACAACTAGGGTATAATCAATCCTGCCAAATCCTTAGATATTGAAATTATCTGATATAGAATGTGTACGTGTATGAATATATAAAGTATAGTTAAAGGAATAAAAGAAAATATCAAAAGTGTGATTAACAAGTGAGAATATAAAAAGTTGTCAGACATTAGGAAAAGAAATAAATTGAATTCCTAGAAATGAAAAATAATTTACATTAGAAACTTATAATGGGTTAACTATTGTATAATATGATTGAAGATGGAGATGGCGAACTGAAAGATAAAGAGGAAGAAATTAGAGTGCAGAAGAGAGACAAGGAGAGAAATGTGGGAGATAAAATAAAAAAAACATGAATCGAGACTGAGAAAATCTAATGTAATAACAATCTGAGTTCCACAAGCCAATAATAGATTTGTGGAGATAGAGTACTTGAAATAATGGCCAAGATTTTATGGAGTTGGTGAAGACATGGAATCCCAAGAGTAAGGAAGTCTGCCTTGCTTGAAATTTGCATCTTTTAGATGAACTTTTAGTTGGTACTTTTTGCTGGCATGCGAAATATCATTCTGAACAATTTATTGTCTTATAAATGATGATCTATTACCAAAGTATCTTTGTCTTGTGTTTGTAACATTTAAAAATGTTTTTTCACATTTTTCTTCTCTTTTGACCAGGTGCCAACAATTCTAAATTCGCTACAGAGAAGCGTACAAGCAGTTTTGGTGGGAAAAATTCAAATTCAAGACTGGTTTAGTAATGGCATTAAGAAAGCAGCTTTAATGCACAAGTGGCCATTAAAAGAAATATCTGTTGATGAAGATGACCAATGTCTACTTCAGAATGATGGATTTTTTCTTTATCTGTTATGCAAGGATGGATTATATAAAATAGGCTCTGGATACAGTGGAACAGTTAGGGTAAAGTGATTCTTTACAGTTCTTTAATTATACAGAGTTATAACCATAATGAATTTTGTTCTGTGTGTTTCTAGTTTCATTTCTAGTATACAATCTAATTTGGATGTAGTAATATTTATTTGAAAACCATAACTGAAATGCATGCATTAAATATTCACCTATTTGCATTATTTTTCATTGACTATTAATTATGAAACCATTGATAGACTAACTTTTGTTATTTTTCAGGGCCATATATACAATTCCACATCCCGCATCAGAAACAGAAAAGAAAAAAAGTCTTGGTTAGGGTATGCTCAGGTAAGAAAATATCTACAATTAACCAAAATTTTCTTATCTTTTAAAAATGTGATTTGTCCTTGTTTAATCAATAATATCACTTCTATTTAAACTGAAATGAGATATTTTTACTAATAAGGCCATAACAATTGTATAGTGTAATATAAACTACCCTGGCTCAGAACTCACAAGAGGTTCCATTTTAGTTCTGGCCCTGCTTCTTACTAGCTGTAAGACTGGACAACTCAGTTAACTTACTTGGTCCTCTGTTATTTAGCTTTAAGGGATAAACATACCTTCTTTAGAGTTCTTGTTTAAATGAGCTTCTAGATAAGAATTGAAGACGACCTTTATAATTAGCACATTTTTAAAAAAAAATTGAGACAGACTCTTGTTCTGTCACCAAGGCTAGAGTGTAGTGGCACAATCTTAGCTCACTGCACCCTCTGTCTCCTGGGTTCAAGTGGCACAATCTCAGCTCACTGCAACCTTTGCCTCCTGGGTTCAAGTGGCACAATCTCAGTTCACTGCAACCTCTGCCTCCTGGGTTCAAGTGATTGTGCCTCAGCCTCCTGAGAAGCTGGGACTACAGGCCCATGCCACCACGCCTAGCTAATTTTTTGTATTTTTAGTAGAGACAAGTTTTCACTGTGTTGGCCAGGCTGGTCTTGAACCCCTGACCTCAAGTGATCCACATGCCTGAGCCTCCCAAAGTGCTAGGATTATAGGCCTGAGCCACCCTGCCCAGCCTCATTAGTACGTTTTAATTGGAAATGTCTACATGACCTGAGGCCAAATTAGGGTTTCTTACCACAAATTCTTTCGTTTTAGTCTAGATTCAGTACTTTCTAGGAAACAGTGTTTGTCCTGCTCAGTAGACAGCTACCTGCATGGAGAATATGCAGAGACTCACAAGAGAGAAAAGCCCTGGGCGGGTGTGTCTTTCTTAATGCTGTGATCTTATCTCCTGACCAACATAGCCAGATGAGTGTCAGCCTTTTAGGAGGTCAGCAGCCAGATGGATACATTACTACTACTCTTATGGAGAAAAGCAAATGAAGGATAGACAAGAGGGGCTAGAAATGTTTTTTTCTATACAATACCCACCTGGGCAGTGAAGCCCAAGTTCTCTTGTATAAGGATAGAGAATAAAGATTTCCCTGCATGCCGCCTTGCTGAGTTCATGAGATTTGTCAGCATCAAATGATTAAAGATACTGGAAAGCACTTTGAAAACTATGGAAATTGTTATTGTTACATTGAGAATAATTCTACTGTAGCAACTATTGGGGAGATTTTGAATTTAAAACTTTTTGTTTTTTTGGGGGGTGGGGGGATGTAGTTTTCCTCTTGTCACCAAGGCTAGAGTGCAATGTTGTGATCTTGGCTCACAGTAACGTCCGTTTCTAGGTTCAGTCAATTCTCCTGCCTCAGCCTCCCAAGTAGCTGGGATTGCAGGTGCCTGTTGCCACGCCCAGCTAATTTTTGTATTTTTAGTAGAGACTGGGTTTCACCATGTTGGCCAGGCTGGTCTCGAATGCCTAACCTCAGGGGATACACTTGCTTCAGCCTCCCAAAGTCTTGGGATTACAGGCTTGAGCCACCACACCCGGCCTGAAATTAAATTTTAAATAACAAATGAGTTTCTCAGTGATTGTCTCTTAAAAGTTTAACCTAGTTTAAAATATATCATGAAATTTTTATTTGCTACTCTACTGTGTTTTATCTCAGAAATAATGCTGTGGAAAATATATCAATGGCATATCATACCACCTAAAACCATATGCTATTCATTTTCAAATAGCAAACTCAATACTTAATTTTTCTTATATTATTTGTTAAAGTAACAGTGATCATTTATATTATTTACTTGGCAAGTGATAAGGTCATTTTGAATAAAATGTTCGTACCTGTTACTATCCAGTTCAGTATACCTAATTATGTTTCTGGGATCTTTCTTTCTCTCTTTTATTCTTTTTTTTCTTTTTTCTCTCTCTTTTTCTTTCTTCTTTTCTTTATTTTTCTTCCTTTCTTTAAAAAAATTATGTTTCTGGGAATATGTTAAATCAATTCTCAATAATATATGACTTTTCCTCTAATTGAGAGGGATGTTCTTATATTTTTAATCTTTAATATCTTTTAGACATCAATATTGACGTATTATTGTACTTCAGAAACCTGTAGTGTGGAACTGTATGGCTGCTGTTTCTGCTGAATTAGTAATAAATATTTTAACAGGCAAATTTTTTGCTGTTATCAGGGTTATTTATTATATAGAGATGTGAATAACCACAGCATGACAGCCATAAGGATAAGCCCTGAAACACTGGAGCAAGATGGTACTGTAATGTTACCAGGTATGTTTCAAATAGTCATTTTTTTACCACAAGCTATTTTAAGAAATGTGCATGTTAGGCTATTTAAACACGTAAAGAATGATTAGGAAGTAATAGTGCTTATTTATAAAAGGGTTTTAAAAGTCTTGACATACAAAGCAATTTATAGTCTACATAAAGTTAATGCATGTGAAAACAATAGACATAGAAATATAGTATAACAAGTTTTAATATTTGTTTTTAAACTTGGCCATCTATGGCCTGATCTCTGATCTCACCCCACCAAGATTTTCTCAGTTGCTGAATTAGTGGGTTGATGTTACTGTGTTGTTCTTATAAAATCAGGACTCTGGCTCTCACATGACCCAGTATAAAGAAACTTCTGTTTATTTTTACTTTAACAACAGTGCAATTGGGTTTTCCTCCTTATTTTTATTTTATTTATTTTAAAGGGATTTCAGAGACAGAGAGTTTAGGGTGGGTCAGGAATTTTTTTTTAATTTCATCATTTACACTTTTTATGCATCTTAATAATGCTTTGATAATGGTCTTTGGGCACAGTTTATTTTGCTTTAATTTTGAGGCCTTTATATATTCACTTAAATCACTGCTAAATTCTGAGGCAGTAAGTCTCAAATTTTGTCAAATGCTGGAAAAATGCATATCCTTTCTTGTAAGGTCTTTGAATTTGCTTACAGTGTTGATACTTTCTGAAGCTGTTCATATTAAAATCTTGAATATCTAATGTGTATGTCAATAATTTTATAGTAAGCAGTATTACTTGTAAGTACTTGACTATCTGAAAGTGAGAGCTACTTCTGAAGAGTGGGTTGAGAAGAATAATTCCTCCCAGGCTACATGTTAATTTTTAAATACAGTTTTCATAACTTCATCAAACATTTATTTGAACCTTACTACCTATACATAGATACAAATTAGTGTGCATGACACTCTGTTAAATACCACAGTTCATGTCCATTTCAGAAATGGAGCAGCTTTGGAAAGCAGAGGACGTAATAAAATCATTTTGTAAATAACCATCTATTATCAGATATGTCTGCAGGGTTTTGTTTTGTTTCATTACAAGTCCTGGGCCATGTCTTTGGTCATAATAATAATGACAATAATAATATTAAAAAATACTTTTTAGTAACATGCACACTCAGCCACATATTTATATGTATATTAAAAGTAATAATCATGTTTATTGTATAAAAATCATATGAACATAAAAGAATGAATTGAAATAATTATAATTCTACTTCCCATATATAAACACTATGAACATATTGGTAAATATCCTTCTCGTATTTTTCCTGTGTGTATATGTCCGTACTTGTAAAAAAGTATGATCATATTCTATATATTGCTTTTTAAAATCTATCTCTTTCACTTAACAGTCAGAAAATATTTCTAGGTCATTAAATAGTCTTCTACAATGTCACTTAAATGTTACAAAATATATTCCATTGGTTAATGTTTGGGAATGAAAGCCTTCCAGTTTTTTGCTATATAAATTACACTGTAATGAGCATTCCTATTGTGCTGTCTTTGTGCAAGTCATTGTAGGATACTGATGTAGAAGAAAAATTCTAAATTGTCACATCCCCTCCGCTATAACAGATGGGTATTAATATAAAGGATTTATTTCTGAGAAACCCTGTACATTTAATAGAGACTGTGACTGAGAAGACAATTTGAAAATATATGCCTGAAGCTGTTTTGTTTTTCATGTCTTGATAAAAAATTACTCATTAATGTCTTTATTCAGTTTAAATCCCTTTGCTTCGTTTAACTTGTGAAATCCAACTTTGAACAACACAAGTGTGGCTTTATGTGTTTTATAAGTGTGTGCTGTATCAATGGTGAAGAATGAACCAAACTTTGGGAAGATAGTCCCATGTTTGTTTTCAGAACTGGTGAATGTTGCTTGATATACTCCTGAAGATACAATCTTAAAATATTACATGATGGATAAAGAAAGGATAAAGAGAAAATCTTGAAATCACTTGGTAGAAGTCTCCTCCCTCAAGCCTAAAGAAGCCTTTTGTCATTTTCTTATTTCTTTGGGACCTGGACTGAATTATCATTAAATAGCATTTTTTGTTTTTCCTAGGCAGGGACAACTCTGCTCTGTAGCTTTCCAATCAAGGAGCAGAAGTAAATTGTCAGGTTTATAGATGGTAATGAATACTGTGTTTCAAGTTGACATGAATCAGGTAATTCCTTGAGCTTCATGTTCCAGCTTGTCTTACAGAATAGTTTATTTAAAAAGTATTTCAACCTAGTTTTGTTGAATTTAAAACATACTTTTTTTCATAATAATTGTCATTTTATTCTTTAAACCTCGGCTGACCTTATAGATTGTGTCTTTATCTCATTTTCTCTCCATGTCTGGTGACAGGTTGCCTCAGAGCATGAGGCTTTTTGCTACTCTTCTTGCGCCGCTTCACTCCTCAACCCTGCATTTATCTGAAATTATAATGAGTTTTTCTTCTTTGCTTTTTAGTTTAAAATCTTACTGCTTAGAGCTTGAGAAGCATCTTTCTTGCACCTCTTTGTATTCTGTACAGTGGACTAGGAACTCTTTCTTTTGATTTCTCCTCTCTTTGATTACCAAGTCTCTTGGGCTACCAGTGGGCCTTGTCTCCCAGTTTCTATTTCCAGTTTGTGATCCCTGAATTCTCTATTTGGTAAGGGTCTGCCTGTGTTTTGCATATTTATGATAAGGAAGTATGCTAGTATGAAGCTCTGGGCAAAGAAATAGAGTAATCCAGCTTATTCGGATGGGCTCCATTACTGCATTCCAAAATCAGAATTTTATGTTTTGTTGATTCAGGTACAACTAGAAATGAAATGTTAATTTTTCTTTTGGTATTGTGAATAATGGAGAGATTCATCCTAGTTCTCTGCAGTTATTTTGGGAAGTATGTGTGTGCGTGCTTTTATACTTGCTTGCTGAAAATTTGTGTTTCCAAAAGGATAGAATTTACACTTAGATGTTGATTTTGCTTGTAGTTTTGTGTTATTTAGTAGCAATCACTAACACATATTCCTGTGGTCCTACTGTAATACTGGTATCCCTTGTTACAATTGAGCTTGTGCATTATTTTGTTCAAAGTATATGATGTACTATTCTATGGAGATACATACAGTATTGATGAAATATGGTACTCTAGCCAAGATACGTGACTGCTTTGAGACAAAAATAAATAAATAAGCATATATTTGTCTGCTCTGTGTTGGACAAACATTTAAAAAGTTTAGAGCACACTAAATGCTAAAATTTCTAAGTGGGAAATGTACAACTGGTTTTGAATATCATCCATTTTATAAAGCAAGGGATATCTGTAGTTGGACACAATAGACCTTAAATACAGAAGCTTTAGGTCTGTATTTTTCTGTGACACTAATGACTGTGATGTATGTCTGAGAGAAGAGTGTTGCCTCTGTTGCATGTGATTGTATTGAAATGATTGTAACCAACATTATAGTTTGTTCATCGTGGTGCATGTGAACTATCAGATTATATCTAATACTAATTCACTTTGAAATTAGGTGAGATCTCAGGTCCTTGGTTATGGAAGATTTATAGATATAAGCAAAAATGTAATAAGAATGATTAGTTGAATTCTTTAGTCTCTGCTAATTTGTAATTCTTTATTAAAAAGCACAGTCTCCTTTTGAGTTTAAGTTTATCCTTATTACGTGGAGAACTCTCATTTTGACTTCAACAGAGGAGTAAATTCATTTTGTGAGATGTTTGCTTGTATTGTAATAGAAGTACTTTTTCTTCCTTTTGCACAGATTGCCACACTGAAGGTCAAAATATTTTATTCACTGATGGAGAATATATTAATCAGATAGCTGCTTCAAGAGATGTAAGTACCTTGCATCTTAACTACTGTAAATGGAATTCCTTTTCCTTAAATTATTTAGTTTTTACTAGATAGACTGTAGAGCCTTGAACGACCTCTTTATATAATGTAATGCTGTGGATGTTTTATTTTTCTTAGGATGGCTTTGTTGTCAGAATATTTGCCACAAGCACTGAACCTGTTCTGCAACAAGAATTACAACTTAAACTGGCCAGAAAATGCTTACATGCCTGTGGTATCTCTTTATTCGATCTGGAAAAGGACTTGCATATTATAAGTAAGATAACAAATTAAGCGTTTTTCCTGTATTTTAATTTTTAGTTTTTTAATTCTCTTAGAAATGAACATTGTGTTTTCACCAGTTCAGCTTATATTTTAGCAGCTCTTTTGTGTGTGACTATTAATATAAAGGACAATTTTGAATGAATTTGAATAAATAACTACGAAATATGGCCTGTAAACAAAGTATGATATTTGAAGACCATTCTAAGGAATTGACTAATAATTTCTCATTTTAGTTTTGAATAGAGCAAAAGAAAATAAACTTTACTGAGAATTATGGATGGGTATTGGTGAATGTCGTTAGTTTATATGCTCCATCATTATTTAACTATTTAAAAATTTGAAAACTTATGTTGTAAATGCTATTACAACAATATACATAGTTCTCGCGTTGAAATTTGTACATTTTTACTTTAACAGATTTTCAGGGTAACTATAGAATGATCTCATAGATTGTGAAAATAGTAATTGGCCTTACACATGGATCAGCAATGTTTCATTTCAATAGAGCAATACAGACAACCACAGAGTATTTCTTGGGCTGAGATTATTTACTCTTGTAATGTTGTAAAAGTAATTAGGATCATGAGCTCTCATGAGAGTTTTAGTTTTGGTTTGCCATGCCGCTCCAGGTTTAATGTGACCTTCCATAACTTGTAGGGTTCTTTGCAAATCTACCTTTTTAGACTGTTATCTCATTACATTTAATAAATTTGGCATTAGTGCTTTACTTCATGTATTCTAATTATGTGATATTTTTATAATTCTTCCCAAGAAAAATATCCAATTGAAATTATAGATTTGAAATTTTAAAAGCCCATAAAGTAGTAGTTTGTATAGCTGGACAAAATCGTAAAATGTACCATATGTAAAGTTACAGTTACTCATAGTTTTACAATTTGAAAATATGCATAAGGATCTGTGTATGTACGTGCATATATATATATATACATGCACATATTTATGGAGTAGCTAAATATAATGTTCTTCTGCAGAAAAAAAAATAGGCAGAGAATTTGAAATACTTTAATTCAAATATCTACATGGCATTGTTCCTAGCTCATTTGACTCTGTCTGGTCTAATCTCTCCAACCTTTATATTTGCTTATTTGTAAACCAAGTGGTATAGTTGTGAGAATCAAATGAGATAAATTTTTGAACTGGATAATGCCTGGCACCTAATAAATGCTCAATAAAAATATGGGCATTTATACACTAATTCAAGGAATATTGCTAACATTGAATTTTTAAAAATTTTTGTTGTATATTTAAAAAATTAATTTGCTACTGGCTTGGAACAAGAAAAATAGATTATGATAACTTTATCTTCCCTTGGAATACTGTACCTATTATTAATATTTTAAAAAATTTGAGCATATGACATTTCGTCATCTTTATTTTTTAGTGATATTGAATTGACATTGCAATCACTCAAAATAATACATGCTGTACTTAGAATTCTTCATATTAGAAATGCAGTAGTATCTACTAGTCTTGGCTGTATTTCAGGTACAGGATTTGATGAGGAGTCAGCAATTCTTGGTGCAGGACGAGAGTTTGCGCTAATGAAAACAGCAAATGGAAAGGTAAGTTTTTGGATTAAAAATTAGCATTCTCTGATTTAAGAGATTACAGTCTGTTGATTCGTTTATATAGTTTACATGTTTAAGGATAATCATCTTTTAACTTTTGGTTTAAAATTTTTTATGAGATCAAATTTCATTCATGTTGGAAACAGTGCAGGCATACCTCATTTTATTGTGCTTAGTTTTGTTGCACTTTACAAATAATTGCACTTTTTACAAATTGAAGGTTTGTGGCAATCCTGAGTTGAGCAAGTCTGTTGTCACCGTTTTTCTAACAGCATGTGCTCACTTTGTGTCTCTGTGTCATATTGTGGTAATTCTCAAATATTTCAAACTTCTTTATTATATCTGTTATGGTGATCTATTATCTTTGATGTTACTGTTGTAATTGCTTTAGGGTGCTATGAATTGTGCCTTTAGAAGACAGGAAACTTAATGGATAAATTTGTGTATTCTAACTTCTATACTGACCAGCCAGTCCTCCATCTCTCTGCCTCTCCTCAGGCCTTGAGATACAACAGTATTGAAATGAGGCCAATTAATAGTTTTAACAATGGCTTCTAAGTGTTCAGATGAAAGGAAGAGTCACCTGTCTTTCACTTTATGTCAAAAACTACAAATGATTAAGCTTAGGGAGGAAGACCTGTTGAAAGCCGAGATAGGCTGAAAAGCCTCTTGCACCAAACAGTTAGCCAAGCTGTGAATGCAAAGGAAAAGTTCTTGAAGGAAATTAAAAAGTGCTACTCCAGCAAACACACGAATGATAAGCACAGCAGTCTTGTTGGTGTTATGGAGAAAATTTTAGTGCTCTAGATAGATCAAACCAGCCACAACCTTCTGTTAAGCCAAAGCCTAATCCAGAGCAATGCCCCCAGCTTCCTTCAGTTCTATGAAGGCTAAGAGGTGGCGAAGCTATAGCAGAAAAGTTTGAAGCAAGTGGAGATTGATTGATGAGGTTGAAAGAAAGAAGCCGGGCCGGGCGCGGTGGCTCACGCCTGTAATCCCAGCACTTTGGGAGGCCAAGGTGGGTGGATCATGAGGTCAAAAGATCGAGACCATCCTGGTCAACATGGTGAAACCCCGTCTCTACTAAAAATACAAAAAAATTAGCTGGGCATGGTGGCGCACGCCTGTAATCCCAGCTACTCGGGAGGCTGAGGCAGGAGAATTGCCTGAACCCAGGAGGTGGAAGTTGCGGTGAGCCGAGATCGCGCCATTGCACTCCAGCCTGGGTAACGAGCGAAACTCCGCCTCAACAAAAGAGAGAAAGAAGCCATTTCCCTAACATGAAGGTGGAAGGTGTAGCAGCAAGTACTGATGGAGAAGCTGCGGCACGTTTTGATACAGGTAGCTACACTAAACAAATCTTCAGTGTAAATAAAACAGTCTTCTATTGGAAGAAAATGCTGCCATCTAGGACTTTCATAGCTAGAGAGGAGAAGACAATGCCTGCCTTCAAAGCTTCAAAGCACAGTCTGACTTTCCCGTTAGGGGCTAATGCAGCTGGTGACTTTAAGTTAAATCCAGTGCTCATTTACTATTCTGAAAATCCTGGGGCCTTTAAGAATGATGCTAAATCTACTCTGCTTGTTTTCCATAAATAGAACAACAAAACCTGCATGACAGCACATATACAGCATGGTTTACTGATTATTTTAAGCTTTCTGACCTACTGCTCAGAAAGGAAGATTCCTTTCAAAATATGACTGCTCAGTCACAATGCACCTGGTTAGCCAAGAGCTCTGTTGGAGATGTATAAGGAGATTAATGTTTCTTTACGCCTGCTAACACAGTATCAGTTCTGCAACACATAGATCAAGGAGTAATTTAACTTTCAAGTGTTATTCTTAAAGAACCATATCTCATAAGTCTAGAGTTGCCATAGACAGAGAATGCTCTGATGGATCTTGGCAAAGTAAGTTGAAAAACTGGAAAGATGTAACATTCTAGATTCTGTTAAGAATATTCATGATTCATACGAGGAGGTCAAAATAGCTGCATTAGCAGGAGTTTGGAAAGAGTTGATTCCAGCTGTCATGGATGACTCGAGAGGGGTTCAAGACTTTATTGGAGCAAGTAACTGCAGCTGTGGTAGACATAGAAAGATAACTAGAATTAGAAATGGAGCCTGAAGGTATGACTGAATTGTTACAATCTCATAGCAAAACTTGAAAAAGAAAGTTGCTTCTTATGGATGAGCAAAGTAAGTTATTTCTTAAGATAGACTCTACTTCTTGTGAAGATACTGTGAACATTGTTGAAATTACAACAAAGGATTTAGAATATTAAACATACTAAGTTGATAAAGCAGCAGCTTGACCTCAGTTTTGAAAGAAGTTCTACTTTAGGTAAAATGCTATCAAACAGGATCACATGCTACAGAGAAACCTTTCATGAAAGGAAAAGTCAATTCATGTGACAAACTTCATTAAGAAATTGCCACAGCCATCCTACAGCAAGCAGTCAGCAGCCATCAATATTGAGGCCAGACCCTGCATTGGCAAAAAGATTACAACTTACTGAAGGCTCTATGATTGTTAACATATCTTAGTAATAAAGTATTTTTTAACCAAAATGTATACATTGTTTCTTCAGACATCTTGCTATTTCACACTTAATAGCCTACAGTGTGGTCGAAATTGTAGGCATACCTGCAATATCTCTGAGGTATGCCTGTGTTATGAAACAAAATGGTGACATTTAATAGTATAAAACTTAATAAACGTTATGTTTTATAGATTTTAACTTATGGAACTCTGATTCCTTGAGTAGGGATGCATTTATGTTTTACATTTATTTTGATGAGTAGGATGGATATTCATTGCAAATTTCTGTAAATATATAGAAATGTATAGACTATGAGTTGGAGGAAGTAGTGTGTATGATTAACTTACAGATTGTACAGTTCAGTCTATAGCGATGGAAGCTTCTTCTCTAGTGGGTATGAAGAGAAAGTAAGGTAATTAAAAGAACTGTACAATTTAAAAGCATTAGGAAAATACAGTATGTTTATATATAAGTTTTTACAATAGGGAAAAGTGAATTAAAATTTTTATCAATTTCCTACTCATCTAAATAGGAAGTATATTTATGGAAATAGATACAAATTTGAAAAAATATGAATATTCTGGATAGATATATTCTGGATTATGGATATGAATATTCTGAGTAGATATGAAAAAACTATTATGAACTGTGTCTTCTTGGCAAAATATGCATATTTCTTGCTCAGCTCCTGGAAGTTGAGTAGTGTAAAAAGTTTTTTTGTGTGTGTGAATTTTGTTTTTCAATAAATATGGATGTCCTTTTTTTTCTTCATGTGAAACCTGATGAACTATTCCAAAAAGCCCTGTAATTCTTTTTTTTTTTTTTTTTTGAATACATAAGATATATTACACTGGCAAATACCAGAGTCTTGGAATCAAACAAGGTGGTCCTTCTGCAGGAAAATGGGTTGAGCTACCAATTACAAAATCTCCAAAGATAGTACACTTCTCAGTTGGACATGATGGCTCTCATGCCCTTTTAGTTGCAGAAGATGGGAGCATATTCTTTACGGGATCTGCTAGTAAAGGAGAAGATGGAGAATCAAGTAAGTTGAGTGATCAACTATGCATTTAGTAAAAATAAAACTTTATTAACATACAGTTTATTAATTTTGGCAACACTAACCTCACCAAGTTAATAGAAGATTTTAAATTGGGACGTATTTGGTTAAAGGCAGTGGGTTACTGTTCATTAAAAAAAAGTGCTTGCTAATTTTGTTCTAAAGTTCATATTTATGAGTTTTTATGCTTTATGGGAACGTGGCTATTCATCCGAGAGTATATGCTTATTTTATATCAGTAATTTTAAAAAACGTATTTGTTGCAAGAGATGATTTTAGGAAACCTAAAACTTTGGAAGGAATGTATACCTCAGAATGAAGGTAAACTTTATATAATCTTTTGTGATAGTGTCGGCTATGGATTACTGTTTTGTTTTTGTGTTTTTCGAGACAGGGTCTTCCTCTGTGACCAAGGCTGGAGTGCAGTAGTGTGACTGCAGCTCACTGCAGCCTTGACCCACTGGGCTCAAGTGATCTTCCCACCTCAGCCTCACGAGTAGCTGGGACTATAGGCGTATGCCACCCTGCTCAGCTAATTTTTGTATTTTTTGTAGAGATGGGGTTGCGCCATGTTTCCCAGGCTAGTCTCAGACTCCTGCACTCAAGCAATCTGCCAGCCTCCCAAAGTGCTGAGATAACAGTCATGAGCCACTATGCCTAGATTGGATTACTGTTTTTGGTGTTATTTCTCTATGATGGAATCATTGCTAAGCAATGAAAAAGAAAATAATTTTGTTTATGTCTTACATTTCTTATGTTTCCATTCAGTCTCCCTCAAAGTGTCATTTTTCTCTTTTTATGATTTCTCACATACTTTATACATTTTAACACATTGGAGTAACATAGGGATTAGATTGTAAAGCCAACACATAATATAAAAATAATGTGAAAATAAAAATTATTCGGAAAAGTCCCTTAAAGTAGCTATAAAGTATATTGTTATCTCTCAGAATAATTTTTCTTCTGGCATTTAGAGGACCTTGTCCGTCTTTGGGCACCAGTTAAAGTAGTTGTAGTGTATGTATGTGTATAAATATGTATGTGGGGTGTGTGTGTGTGTGTGTGTGTGTGTGTGTATGTGTATCATGTCATATGAAAAGTAGAGTATTTTAAGTCCCAGCACAGAAGCAATATGTTTTTATTCTGAAAGACATGCAGGGACTGGGGTTGACTGAAGGAACAGCTGGTTGGTTGATGTTTCTGATATTTTGCTTAGCTCAAGGATTTAGCTTTTGAGAGCAGAGGCTGCTCGAGTCACCACATTTAAAATTATTCACTCTCCTTCCATATATATATCTCCCTTCCTTATAATATCTCATTGACTTGATGTAACTGCTTAATAAAATGTGTTGAATGAATGAGGAACTTATTTTACTTTCTAGGATATAACAAGAATGCATGTGAATTACAATTCGGGAAAAAAGGAGATTTTAGATATGCATTAGTAGAATGGTGCTAATAATGCAATAAGCTAATTTAGAGATTGAGTCCCTCAGGAGTTCGATGGGAAACTGATATTTCTTACTGAGAATTTGGATGTACTTCAAGGAATGAGGATCTGGCAATGATAGCCTAAATATTAATTAACCAGATGAGGCTAGCAGGGTGACTAATTTTAAGTGACATGCTGGGAAGCCCAGGCCTTTGTGAAAATAAATAAATAGTGTCATAAATCCAAATAATATGTGTTTTTTTTCTTTGAACTTTATATACAAACCATTATTATTTGTACCTAGAGGTACTGATTTAATCTAATTTATTTTTTAAAGCTAAGAGCAGACGGCAATCAAAACCCTATAAACCTAAAAAGATCATTAAGATGGAAGGAAAGATTGTGGTATATACAGCTTGCAATAATGGAAGTAGTTCTGTGATTTCTAAAGATGGAGAACTTTACATGTTTGGAAAAGATGCCATTTACTCTGATAGTTCAAGTAAGTTTAAAAAAAAGTTTTATGCAAATAAGTTTCAATACTAGTTACGTATTGCAAAGATATATCTAGAACATTTATGTTTGTAGCATGCTTTCTCTACATTTTTTACATTTCCTTCCAAAATTTAGAAAGAGAAATTTTCTGTCATATCTTGTCACTAGGAGCACTGTTCCTAGTTTCATGCAGAGCTAATCATAGAGCTTGGCAAGGGAAGCTTCACTGTTGCTGTGATGTGTGTGGAATGCTTTCCCTAGACTCAGGTGCTTATGGGACATGGCCCTGGGACAGTGGTGGTATCCTGGGGAGGTGATTTTCGTGACAAAGCTGGTTTAAAATAGTTGAAGTGTTTTATCTCCCCCGTTAGGGTGTTTGGCTTGGATAATCTGTGTGATTTACTATTCTATCCCCAGGACCTAGCACAGTGTTGGGTCTAAAGAATTACTTTCAAGTGTCTGGGTGACTTATAAAACAAAAGTTTAAGAAGTGGATATGAGGGGTAGAAATAGCTAAATCGTTTTATATTTATAAATGTTAATCTCTGAAACTTGTCATATTTGATTACTAGATATTCTTTCTAGCAGCTAATAAAGAGTATAACGAATGAGGCATCCCACTTGGAAGGATTTTATATGCTATAAATATGTAAAGCCTTTGAGTTTCTTGATAAAAAGGAAACTAGAATTAATGAAGTTTATGATTACAAATTTATGTAATTGTCTCATGCTGGGGAAATTACACCTGTAGAACATTTATAGCAATTAATTATTAAGCCAAGGGGTACCCAGATGATATGTGAACTGGCTTAATGTGGTAATATTTAGATTCTCAATTGGCCACAACTATGAGAATAAATCAAAATTTGGTGATAGGCTCTTGTACACTTTAAAAATAGTGTTCAGTGTAATTGTTGCTTGTTAACATCCACTGGGTAGAGCTGATGGAAACTTGTATATTTCTTCAACATACATTTATTGAGCATGGATAATACATTAGTGATTGATGGACCTAACAGATCTGGTTACTGCCTTTTTGAGGATCTGAGAGACAGTTGGATGTTACAGAACTTAAATACTGGCGAAGTGTCATTGAATGGCTATCGACATAGACTCAGATCCTAGCACCAACACTTTTTTTTTTTTTTTTTGAGTGGAGTCTCACTCTGTCTCCCACGCTGGAGTGTAATGGCACGATCTCAGCTTACTGCAACCTCTGCCTCCTGGGTTCCAGCAATTCTCCCACCTCAGCCTGGGATTACAGGCATGTAGTTGGGATTACAGGCATGTGTCACCATGCCCAGCTAATTTTTTGTATTTTTAGTAGAGACAAGGTTTCACCATGTTGTCCAGGCTGGTCTCGAACTCCTGACCTCAAGTGATCCGCCTACCACAGCCTCCCAAAGTGCTGGGATTACCGGTGTGAGCCACTGCACCGGACTCCTGGTACCAGCACTTTTAATTGGGTAACAGTTTACTTAACCTTTAACTGGGTATCAGTTTACTTAATCTTTAAGAGTTTTCTTTTTGTTCTTTTCTACCTGCAAAAGGTAGATAATGATAGCATCTGCTTCATATAATTGTTATGAAGATTATAGAAGGTAGAGCTTAAGAAATGCTTAGCACAGAGCCTTGCACATCAGGTAAGGTCTTAAAAACGTGTCAGCTAGTACTATTAATAATAATAAATACCATTTTGTATATACACACACATACTTACCTTTTTCAAAGATGCTAAATATTAAAGGTGGAAATTTTTGAGATGTAATTAACAAAAAGACCTAAAGTAGTATAAGGTAGAAGTGAAGGCCACTTTGAGGAAGTAATAGCTGAGCTAATAATGTAGAATAGTTTTCCCAAAGCATAATAGGAGATTGATATTATTTGTAATTTAAATGAAACAAATACTTTAACATTTTCTTTATTTTAAAGTATATTGGAAAAATAGTCAATAATCTTTGATGTTTAATGTTATTACTACTTGATAAGGTTAAAGGTGCTTCAGTCAATTTAGAGTTGATACAAAACATAATAAATAGAATATGGGTAGCACTTTGATATGATAAGTATAATGAAAGTAATATATGAATAAGTGAATTTTACAAAATAGCTTTGTATTGGATTGTGCAAGAAATCATTGTAGGTTGAAAAGGATGAAAAAATGCTGTTTTAGAAAGTCTTACTGGTTTCTACATAAACAGTATCATGTCAGTATACTATAGCAAGAATTTTACTTGGTTTTGCTGAGGCAGGTCAAAGCAGGTAAAATAAACTATTTATGGACTCCTTTGCACTTAGACCAGAAAAGTTTGAGATTTTCTGACTCTTCTGAGTACTGTAGAGAGGTGTTACCATCTCGAGGAAGCATTCAAGAGAAATAAGCTTGAGAGAAAGCTATAGTAAAGCTGTGTCCCAAGTCTGGATGATAATATTTTAGGATTCATTGAAACTACATTACAAAGTTACAAAGTTAATTCAGGGACACTCTGCCAGTCTCTTGGCTACTTATTTTTCATTTTCGTGAGTTATTTTGCCACAGAAATAAAAAGTTCTGCATTGAGGTAGTTCTTTTAGTAGGCCCAGAAGGGCTTTTTGTTGTTTTTACTAAATTTGTATCTTTCTTATAGGTTTGGTAACTGATTTGAAGGGCCATTTTGTAACTCAGGTAGCTATGGGCAAAGCTCATACTTGTGTTTTAATGAAGAATGGAGAAGTGTGGACATTTGGTGTAAATAATAAAGGACAGTGTGGACGAGACACTGGTGCCATGAACCAAGGTGGGAAAGGTAGGTCTTTAATTCTTAGATATGAAAATCTGTGTTGTCTTTTCATCCGTTTTTCAGAACAACATAGTGAAAAGTTTTATTCTTTTCCAAATGAGTGGCTCTTCTTTTTCTTTTTGTTTCTATTTTTTAAAAAAATGTTTATGGGTAGATAGTAGGTATATGTATGGGGTACATGAGTTATTTTGATACAGGACTACAATGTGTAATAATCACATCAGGGTAAATGGGGTCTCTATCATCTCAAGCGTTTATCATTTCTGTATGTTACAGGCATTCCAATTATACTCCCTCAGTTCTGTACAAAAACAAATTATCACCAACTGTAGTCACCCTGTTGTGCTATCAAATAGTAGATCTTATTCATTGCATCTAATTATATTTTTGTGCCAAATAATCATCGCCATGTCCTACCCAACTCTCCCCTGCTATCCTTCCCAGCCTCTAGTAATCATCATTCTACTCTCTATCTTCATGAGTTCAATTGTTTTAATTTTTAGCTCCCACAAATGAGTGAGAACATGTGAAGTTTGTCTTTTGGTGCCTGCCTTATTTCATTTAACATAGTATCCTCCAGTTCCATTCTTATTATTGCAAATGATAGCATCTCAGTCTTTTTTATGGTTAAATAGTACTCCATTTAGTTTGTATACCACATTTTCTTTATCCATTTATCTGTTAATGGACACTTAGGTTGCTTCCAAATCTTGGCTATTGTGAATAGTGCTGCAGTAAACACGAGAGTGCAGGTATCTCTTTGATGTACTAATTTCCTTTCTTTGGGGTATATCCCTAGCAGTGGTATTGCTGGATCATATGATAGTTCTAGTTTTAGTTTTTTGAAGAAGCTCCATACTGTTCTCCAGAGTGGCTGTACTAATTTATGTTCTCGCCAACACTGTACAAGCGTTCCCTTTTCTCCACATTCTCTCCAACATTTGTTATTGCCTGTCTTTTTGATAAAAGCCATTTTAACTGGGGTTAGATGATATCTGATTGTAGTTTTGATTTGCTTTTCTCTGGTGATCAATGATGTTGAGTACCTTTTCATATACCTGTTTGCCATTTGTATGTCTACTTTTGAAGAATGTCTGTTCAGATCTTTTGCATATTTTTAAATTGGATGTCAGTGGCTCTTTGATTTTATACTTATGAATTAGGAAAACCACTGAATTTCTTATTTATTTGATAATATTTAGTAATAAAATATCAGTGGAAAAGTAAATATACTTTAGATTTTTAATTTTTGAGCAAATGAGCTGGCTTACTCAAATCATCTTCTAAATTCTACATATAAGTGCTTCTTTGACTTAGCATCTTTGGTGACTACATCACTCTGGAAAATTATTTTCCAAACTTTTTATTAGCTGCTTTTATACCACATGTTACATTTTAACCATTTTTGGCAGCAGTCTATCTGGCAAATATTATCTTCCATTTAACAGCACATGCTACCTGTATTTTAACTTGTTCTTGACAACTAAGAGCGAACGTTATGCATATCTGACCCTTTACCAAGAAAAGACTGAATTGTAGACACACCTCCTTCACTGTATCCTTTGCTGCAATGCCTCAGACTATTGAAGAGAACAAAGGGCTTTAGCCTTTGATTGCCCTGTTTGCTGTGGTCTTGTTTTGTTGTTGTAGGTTTAAATAGCATGGCTACTTCTTGCCCTCAATTTTTACATCTAGCTGCTGTCATTATGTTTATAGCTTTCACTCCAATTTCTGATTTTCCGTTTTAAATTTTATATGGGCAAGAGAATAAAACAATACATACATGTTATTAGAACTAAGCATTGAACTCTGGTTAAAGTACCAATACTTTCACAGATTAAGTGCTGTATAAATTAACCAGGGTTTTCTCTTTAGAGGCCTTGATGTCAGACTCATGTGAATCTCAGGAACTCATCCCATTCTTTGCCTTTTCCTTATTTGTGTGTCTGTGTGTATATTTAAAATGCATAGATTTAAAAACGAGCAAGTTATTATACTATATTGGCAAATAAAGAAGTAACAAAAGAAAGAAAGTTAATAGATTACTTCACAATGGATATACTTTGTTTTCTTGCTAAACTAGTGAACTTGTTTTAATAATAACTGCTACGATAAAGAGGAATCAGTTTAGTTTTTTTACCTATAATATGAGTATATATTCAAATTATATTTTATAAGAAGTCTGACCTGAACAACATTGTTTCCTTATTATTCTGAAACTTGTGAAAATTGAGCATAAATTTACATCTGTGTTCTAGATTTTTAAAAGTAAAATTGTTAAAAGATTTTGTAATTTAATAAGAATTATACCTACTTTGTTGGTAAGTAATGAATTAGAAAGCAGATGAGTAAAGTAAGACACATAAAATGCATACTGATTGCAGAGTCATAACAGATGCTGCGGAGGATATGGAGAAAGGGGAATGCTCAGACATGGTTGGTGGAAATGTAAATTAGTATAGCAACTATGGAATACATAGATTTTTCATTTGTATGAAGGTGACTCAAACAACTGAAAATAGAGCTGCCACGTGATCCAGCAATCCCGCTTCTGGGTGTATGTATCCAAAAGAAAGGAAATCTGTATGTCAGAGAGATGCCTGCATTCTCATGTTTATCACAGCAGTTTCACAACAGCCAAGATATGAAATCAGCTTAAGTATCCCTCAGCAGATGAATGGATAAAGAAAATGTGGTACATACACAATAGAATATTACTCAGGCCTGGCCAGGCGTGGTGGCTCATGCCTATAATCCTAGCACTTTGGGAGGCCGAGGTGGGTGGATCACCTGAGGTTACGAGTTCAAGACCAGCCTGGTCATCATGGTGAAACCTCATCTTTAAAAAAAAAAAAAGAGTATTATTCAGGCCTAAAAAAGAATGAAATCTTGTTATTTGTAGCAACATGGATGGAAATGAAGGACATTATGTTAACTGAAATAAAATAAACCAGGCTGAGAGAGACAAATATCATTCATATGTGGGGGCTAAAAAATTGATTTCATAGAGGTGGTAAATAGAATAGTGATTACCAGAATCTTGTAAGGATAGTGGGAGCAGGAGAGGAAGAGGATTTGGTTAATAGGTACAAAAATACAGTTAGATAGAAGGAATAAGTTACAATGTTCAGGAGCAGAGTAGGGTATAGTTAACAACAATGTGTTGTATATTTCAAAATAGCTAGAAGAGAGGATTTAGAATATCCCAGTTACCCTGACTTGATCCCAGTTACGCAGATTGGTTCATTAGACATCGTGTATGTGTGTGAAAATTGACATGTATGCCATAAATAGGTTCAACAGTTATGTATCAATTTAAAAGGAACGTAAAGGGATATTTAAAAAGTTTATTTAAACCAGGAAAGTACAGAAAATGTTGAAATATTAAACAATTATGTATCTACCATGTCTTGTCATTTTTTTTTCAGTTTAAAAAAAATCACAGATAAGATTCAAGTGCCCTGTATTCCCCTTCCAAGGCTTATTATCATATTCCATTTCTCTCCAGAGCTAACCTCGATTATGACTTTGATAAGTATATGTTCAGTCATGTTCTCATATATTTTTACATGTTCTTTTATATTTTATGTGTAAAATAATATTGCATAATCATGTCTGTTTTACACATAAAAATATACTACTGTTTTATGTGTTTTTGTAAGGGTTAATCTGTTATTTATATTTTTCTACAAATTGTTTTTTTCTCACCATTCTTTTTGAAATATGTCCATGTTGGTGATACAAATCTACATGATTTATGTTAACTAATGTGTGATAAACCACCCAATGAACATGCAATAGTGTATCCATTCTCCTGTTGATGGATGGGCTTATTTCCAATTTTTCATTGTTATCAATGAGTTTGAAATCTCTTTTATACATGTTTCCTGGCAGACATGTGTAAGACTTTCTCTGGTGTAATTGCTCTGTTCTGGATTTCAGTTTTATTGGATTTTTCTTGAAAGAGATTGTACCAGTTTATACTCTAACTAGGAGAGTTGGATTTTCCACATCACTTCAAACAGTTGATATCGACAGATTGATTTTTGTCAATTTGGTGACTATGAAATGATACCTCATGGTAATTTTTTGTTAAATTGAAGTATATTATGCATGCAGGAAGGTATACATAGCATCTTTTTTTTTTTTTTTTAAATTTTTTATTGGATTTTAGGTTTTGGGGTACATGAGCAGAGCATGCCAGACAGTTGCGTAGGTACACACATGGCAGTGTGCTTTGCTTTTCTTCTCCCCTTCACCCACATTTGGCATTTCTCCCCAGGCTATCCCTCCCCACCTCCCCCTCCCACTGGCCCTCCCCTTTTCCCCCCAATAGACCCCAGTGTTTAGTACTCCCCTTTCTGTGTCCATGTGTTCTCATTTTTCATCACCCACCTATGAGTGAGAATATGCTGTGTTTCATTTTCTGTTCTTGTGTCAGTTTGCTGAGGATGATGTTCTCCAGATTCATCCATGTCCCTACAAACGACACAAACTCATCATTTCTCATTGCTGCATAATATTCCATGGTGTATATGTGCCACATTTTTCCAATCCAGTCTATTATCAATGGGCATTTTGGTTGATTCCAGGTCTTTGCTATTGTAAACAGTGCTGCAATGAACATTCGTGTACATGTGTCCTTATAGTAGAAGGATTTATAGTCTTTTGGATATATACCCAGTAATGGGATTGCTGGGTCAAATGGAATTTCTATTTCTAAGGCCTTGAGGAATCGCCACACTGTCTTCCACAATGGTTGAACTAATTTACACTCCCACCAACAGTGTAGAAGTGTTCCTTTTTCTCCACATCCTCTCCAGCATCTGTTGTCTCCAGATTTTTTAATGATCGCCATTCTAACTGGCGTGAGATGGTATCTCAATGTGGTTTTGATTTGCATCTCTCTGATGACCAGTGACGATGAGCATTTTTTCTTATGATTGTTGGCCTCATATATGTCTTCTTTCGTAAAGTATCTGTTCATATCCTTTGCCCACTTTTGA